CAGTATCGTAGCCATCCGGCAATTCTGAAATGAAGTCATGAGCAAAAGCAACTTTGGCAGCTTCCTGGACTTGAGCCATCTTTTCTTCTCTTGAAGCATGTTCCCATTTTGTACCAACAAGACCGTGAGCGATGTTATCGAATGCTGAACCTTGAAACAGCACAGGCTCTTGTTGAACAAGCCGGACGTTCTTCCGGAGCCAATTGAGATTTAACTCGTTAAGCGGTTTGCCGTCCAACTTGATGGCTCCAGACACGGGGTTGTACCATCGCTCAACGAGACCGACGATGGTGCTCTTTCCAGAACCGCTTTGGCCCTATATGTAAATGTCAGTTGTGGGAAGGAAAAAACGAGAACGAGAAAAGGATGAACGTGACTTACCACCAAGGCCGTGACCTTTCCAGCGGGAACAGATAACGAAAAGCCGTCTAGTACAGTGATACTCGGCCGCGAAGGATACGCAAAATTGACATTCTCCAACTCAAGGTGTCCGACAACTTCTGTAGGCTTCTCTCCCGATTCGTCGAATGGATTAATATCAGAATCTCGGTCGATCAGCTCAAACAGTTGAGCAGCTCCCGAAGCAGCTCTCGAAAAGTCGATGGAATACGGCGCCAGCGAAGTAATGCTGATAGTTGCGATTGTGACAGAAAACAAGACTGTAAAGATTTCGCCAGACGACTTGATCTCCCCGTTTGCATATAGATGGATACCCTGCCAGAAAGCAAGCCCAAAGCCCAGGTACATGATTGTATACTCGGCCGAAAAGAGAGCTGCAAACCAAGGCGAGAGCTGGCGACCGTATTTGTGAGCCTCTTCGAGGTATTCGTTGAATTTTCTGACAAGTCTAGATCGCATCTCAAACGCATGCACAGTCCTAGTACTGCCAATAATCCCTTCCGCATAGCCATTGGCCTGAGCGTGAACATCGAAGATTTTAGTCTCGACTGCCGCCTCGTTGATACCAACAAAGGCCATTACGGCCATCGTAGTCGGGGCGATGCAGAGACAAATCAGGGTCAGCTTCCACTGGGTAACGAATGCCACAATAAAGGCGGTGACAAAAGCCGAGACTCCTTGGAACGAAAGCCCAAGCTTCTCTGCAATACCGCCCTGGATCAGTTTTCCATTTGAAGTCGCTTGAGTGGCAATTGATCCACTGGTGCCGAGATCGTAATACGCAACCTCCTGGCTCAAAGCAGCTTTCAAGTATGCATGTCGAATATTTCGAACGATTCGATACGCGTTGTAGGTCAGGAGCACATTGTATGCGTATGCCAGGATAAACCTCCCAATGCCTAGATAGACGAAATAGAGCCTTTGAAGAGTGAGTGTCAATGATTCAACAACTGGGCGAGTATAATGCATGAGGCGAAGAAATCACTTACGATAATCGACCGGCATCATGGCGAAACTTTGCACCGCTTGCTGATGGATCGTTGATAAAATTGGTGATGGTCGTGACGAACTGGCCAAAGATCAGATTCTGGAGGGCTATGCCAGCTCCAGACGCAATTGCAGCTACAATCGAGATGGCTAGGATAATCCGTTCACGTCGTCCGGTGTAAGTGAAGATTCTCTATATAGTTGATAACACAAACACAATCAGTCACATCCAATCGGAGCACACAAATATGGACAGGCTGCCCACTTACCAGATACGGGCTGTTGGATTTGTTCTCGCTCGCTGGGGTTTCATCTCCGATGGATACCTCTGTACTGCCATCCACCTGTTCAACAACATCTGAGGCTTGGTTCAGAGGGCCGTCATGGCCCTTCTCTGAGACGGTCATATTCAGGCTGCTGGTCTGTCTCGCCAAAACCAACAACTTGCTGAAGTTGTCGTGGCAAAGTGCAGGATTGACGAGGCAGAACGACTAGCCTCTTTTAACAGCCTGATTGGTATGGTAGGAATGTCCTTATTAATGTCTTAACCCCATAAGGAGGGATGCCGGTTAAGCTACCCGAGATCTCTCATTCAACGCCTGCTTTATCATTGTCAAGCTCTATCGAATTCCTGTTCAGAGCTTCGCCGCCGTATTTCGTATCGGACAATGCCTGTCCTCGGGCTCCGCGACTTTCGGGCTCCGCGGGCTAAAGCCGCTGTACGTGTATTTACGGGGCCGCTAAGCCAAGGCTCCAGCGTGCGGGTTGATTTGTCCTGGTAGACGGTGCCCCCCCGGATTTTTTTCCAGACCTTCTCGCTCTTCCACACCACGGTTACGGGGCAACGTGGGTGCTTACAGTCAGCTATTAAGCATATTATTCGCTATGTTTAGTAGCCAGTGAGAAGCAATTGAAAGGAGATGGTCCTACGTATGACATTATTTCACGCCTCATACGTACGGCAAACAAAGTCAAGGCGGGCTACAAACCAAGCTAGAGAATTCAACTTTCCTCGTATTCGTATTACATGATTTGAGATTCATCGAAGGAATTTATTGAGCTGCGGGAAATCTCAATTGAATTGAATAATACGCCAGTAGATGAAAGCATATCGAATGAGTGCTATATAGCTGTTTGTTTTCTTATAAAACTGCTGCTTTCACCCAATCTTTTGATTCATTGCGTCTGAATGTCTGTGTACATGTATGTGGTCGAAAACGATGCTGCTTTGCAGCATTTTTGATCTTTCTTGCGTGTCTTATAAAATTCCCAGTCAACAAGGTGACAGAAAAATCTGCCCATCTACCACTATCGTTGTATGTGTTTGGCGGCGGTAGTTTTATCACCCCCTTGCGAACAAGTCGCCGTGCGGATGGTCTTTGTGCTTCACAGCATTTTTAATCTGCCCCAAGAGCCTCATAAAGATACCCAAAACCACTAGATATACATGTGTTTATATATTTTCCACTATGGCGTCATACCGGTGCGCCGGGCCTTTCACAGCGTTTTTAATCTCTCCAAAGCCTCTTGTCAAACACTCAGCGTCTCCAAGGTTTTCTTCACAGCATTTCTAGTCACCTCCAATGGCCGCATGAAAAGGCCTAGTCAAACCATACCTACTGTTCAGCTAAGCGCTTAGTTTCGATTCACATAATTCTTTACCTTCATCGTTAGGCTTGCTAACAAACACATATGCCATGCACTAGGCGATCAAGAAATGCATAGGTTCTTATTGGTAACACCTCAATAAAAGATACATGGAGAAATAAATAATTTGTTTCACTTGCGTGAGCCCACATGCATCCTATATCATCGGATATGAATCAAGCAGGACATACTATGAGTACCAATTAATAACATAAAGTTCTTCTATTTTATTTTCTCTTCCTTTTCCTCTTGAAACAAAGGCCACTTTTTCTCAAAACATCATAAACAGAGATCAAACTCCAACATCTCCCACCTCATGCAACAGTCTCCGCTCCCCAATAAAACGTCGAAATCTCCGCTCCGAGATACTTATCCTGATACAATCCCGCCTTCTCCCCCTCCAACGCCGCACCAGCACACACAATCAGCGGCATGAAATGCTCTCCCCTCCTCGGCGGATGCATCTCGTTCGCATGTGGAAACTCCCTCCAGCCTGCCACCTTCCTCCATCTCTCCTCCTTGCTCTCCGCACCCACAGCCTGCTCCAACGCGCCATTCCATCGACCAATCCTCTCTGACCACTGCTTAACTTTCGCAGGCCCTCCGTTACGCAGATCATGATAAACCTGGAAGTTGTGGACTGATGCGAAACCCGAGCCCACGACGGCAATGTTGTTCTGGCGGAGTTTTGCCAGCGCAGCTCCCATTTTCAGATGCTGAGTAGGATCCTCAGACTCCAGCACAGAAAGCTGCACAATCGGCACATTGGCCGCGGGATTCACCAACAACATTGGGATAAAAACGCCGTGATCCCATCCTCTCTTGCCATCCAGCTCAGATTGGAGGCCCTCTGCCTCCAGCGCGGCTTTTACCTCCTGCGCAACCTCCGGGTGGCCAGGCGCAGGGTACTTCAGCGCGTAAGCTTCCGCAGGGAAGTTGTAGTAGTCAAAGAAGAGCTCGTGCGTTGCCCCGGATGAGATGACTGGCCTATCTGTCGACCAGTGCGCTGTGACGAGGACAATGGCGCGAGGCTGCTCTGGGGTGCCGAGCTTGAGAATTTTAGGCACTCGGGTTTTCATGGAGTTGATGACTTCCTTGTGGGCAGGATCGCCAAGGATGGGGAGAGGGCCTAAAGCGTCATTGTTAGTTGTTTGTAATTGACAACAGAGCATATGGGTGAGTGAGCAATGGGCGGTAAAACAATCTCACCTCCGCCATGTGAAAGCGCAACCACAGGAGCAACAGTCATTGCGGCCTTCTTGCTGAAAAAATACGTTGAAGCGAAGCGAAACAGCGTGACCAAGACAACTACCCTGGTAACCAAGGCAATAAGTCGTTTCAGTATCAATCTCATCAAAAGTCCTTAGGATATACGCAAAGTTCAATCTGATAACGTCGGGCCGGGATCTCTCTCTTTTTATCTTGTTTCTTACTAACCGCAGAGACAGGATTGGGCCTTCAGACCCGTCTCACTGGCAAGTCGGAATTACGAAATAGGCGCTCGCCATCTCAATGTACTTCGTACTCTAATTGCCTCAATGGGTTTAGCCGCTCTTTGATGGTTGAGTTGTCAGCAGGCATGAATTGACTCTTCACGAGCAAAAGGATTTCCACGATGACGAACAAGCTCTGCTTATTAACAGCGTTGTACTCCAAGTGGCCAATCATTGAAGGCATAGCCGCCTGCAGCCGCCTGACTCCGAGCGGTAAATAAGGAGCTGGGCGCCAGTGGGAGAGCTGGCTAGGGCGGCTCCCACTTAGATGCCGTAGTGCGCGCTAGATTTGGCGGAAAGAAAAGGCTAGAATGGACTATGCTGATGATGGCGACTCAGACCAGGAACTAAAAACGAATAGGAGGCTGAGATGGGACTAATCAGGGCCATTTAAATTTTGCAAAAGGCAAAGGTACAGCAACTCTGAGAATAACTAGATAACTAAGACTTGCTTGCTAAGCATCAATACATCGACTACAATTGCCCATCTGCCGCCTCTCGTTGGGCAGGGCGACGACTTTCTGCTTCTGCCAGCCTTTCCAACAAAGATGGACCCGTTGAGCCGTTGATAAAGACTGCCACTCTGTCTCTGCCACTACCTACGGCTTTGATTCGAGATCCAATATCCAACGGACTTCCCTCGCTGATGATGAAGTGGCCCTTTGCTTGATCCTCTGGCAGCTTGGCTCCAAGGATCTTGTGTGCGTTTCCACTTACAAGATCCAGGGCAGCTTTCTCTCCCAGACGTCCGTTGCCATTGTGGTACGCTTTGCCGGCTTCAAGTCCCAAGTCGCGCACATACCAGTCCTCATACAGGCCAATGGCGACCGTGACGTTGGCATCGAGCAGGTAATCAATCGTTGTACCATTTGTCAGTGGTGCGCCGGGAAGAGAACGGCGTTGGTCCCAGTTATTCGGATGCACCTGAAGAGGAAGCAAGATGACGCCAACATTCGCGGCGCCTAGCTCTGCTGCAACGAGATGAGACTCTGCGCCGCCGAGGATGGCCAGTCTTATCTTGGACTTGGTGGCCTCTTCGACTTCTGACTTGATCCTCAATGCGATGGCAATGCCGTCTGCATTATCGATAGTGAGAGCCAAGGTCTTATTTCCAGCAATCACCTTTTGCAAATAGGCATCTTCTGAAAAAGGATCCTCAACTGTCTTATTCTTAGAAGCAGCGGCAAGAAGCTTGCTTCGCAGCTTGCCAAATAGTTCGGAATAACTGCCAGTGCTGCGAGCGCTAAGGTCAAGCGTGTAATGAACGGCGACATCGTCATCAAATACCGCACCTTTCTCGGCGACAGTCTTGGCTGCGGTGAGGAAGCCAACACTGGTACCATGATGGGAGCTGCCACTTACAAACTTTGGAGCAGAGATACCCTTGGTAACACCATACTTAGCAGCAATATGTAGCTTCTTGCTGTCCAGCCGAAGTCCATCGACAGCACGAGTAAAGGCTTTTGGATTCGGCCCATTGTCGGTTACATCCTCAGCGTCGATATCGTTCAATCCAATGGTTCGACCGACGCCAGTGAAAGAATTGGTGAGATAACCATTCTTTAGGATGATTCGCCGCCTCACTTTTTGGGCAGCTGCTTCATATTCGGGACTGCAGGGACCAATGCAAGCAATCTTCCCATTGGAGATAAAGACAGCCACAGGCTTGCCATCAGACTCGAAAACCTCATCATCAGACAGGAGAACCTTTTTAATGCCATAGAAAAGAACATCTTGCATCTCGGTTGGCTCTTCGACGATGTAAGATAACCCAGTATCGGGTACGAGGGGGCTTGACTTGGGCTTTGAGAGCTCAACCGGGTCTTCGAACTGTGCAGTGCCGTCAATCCAGACTTGGACGGGAGCAGCTCCAACGCTCAAGGGATCGCTGTCCCAAACCACAATATCGGCATCAAATCCTGGCTTGACTTTCCCTAGTCGTTTCCCAAAACCAAGCAGCTCTGCAGGGATGCTGGTAACGGCGGAGAGAGCAGCGTGGTAGGGAAGACCATAGTGATAGCCTTTTGCGGCTTCAAAGAGGACGTGCTGAGCATTGATAACCGGGTTGTCGCTGACATATACAGTCGTGAGGTTGGCATCGTAGAGATATTTGCCAGCATACTCGGACCCTATGTAGGCCTCGGCTTTGTAAAACATGTTATCAGCGAACAGAGCTGACGCGGGTGGTCGGCCTCCATATGTGCGCTTGAGGATCTAAAAGAAGTAACAGGGTTAGATGAGCCACAGCTATGGCAGAACGATTGAAAGAACCTACCTCAGTAGCTAGATACGTTTGATGAGCGTGATGGAAAGCCCGAATTGGGAACTTGAACTCGTTGGTATGATCCACCATGGCCTCAAGATCCGTGATGGTGTAACAGTGAGTGTTGATATGGACCTGGCCGCGAAGGGCCGCAGCAAGAGACTCCCAGAACAGCTCTTGCGGCAAATACCCGTCCATATTTTCCACACCAATAGCATCAGCCTTGTTGCACCAGTCATCCTGGCGCTGTATTAATGCTGTAGCTTGCTCAAAAGCGTGTCGAAAGTCGAAGCTTTCGCCCATGCGGCTGAATGGCCTTTTGTCGATGCCTCCATGGACCCTCTTGGCATTCTCTCCGCATGCCATCTTCATGAATCGCCAGTTACGATCCGGGTCTGCAAGCATGTCTTGCGCGCTGATCTCTTTGCGGCCGTTTCTGGGGCCAACAGCGTGCTTGATAGTGTAAGCCTCGCCGCCCATGTTGTTGCCGGAGCCGGGGAGGATGAGAGACGTGGTGACTCCGCCTGATTTGATGACTTCAATTTGGTGGTCCAACGGGTTAAGAGCATCAATGGATCGCGCCCACGGAGTCGTGTTATCCGAGAGTTCATTGGTATCGTCGTTGCCCAGAAGATTGGGAATAGAATCGACGCCAGCATGGCTGTGCATGTCGATGATGCCGGTGGTGAGTTGACGTCCAGCAGCATCAAAGATCAGGGTGTCATCCGGCAGTGAGCTTGACGATATCTCATGTTCGACTCGTTTGATGAGTCCATGCTCGAGCAATAAATCGCCTTTGATCCATTCCCAGCCCTTGCCCGCTCTCGCATCAGCCTCGCTTGTGCCCTCAAGAGGCTCGCCAACCCAAATAACAGCGTTTTTGATGAGAGTAGGCTTGCTGCCTTCGTCCCATCGCGCGTTCTTCTCTCGTCCAAGTCCAATTGGATCCTGGGGTTTGTGTTGGAGCTTTTGGCAAGTCTGCAGGTCATCGTGGAGCTTGTTCAGCGAGAGCAGCGGAACTTTCGTATCCTCTCGCCATATCTGTTTCCACTGCCCAGCCACCAACAACGTCAAAGCAGTCGCAGCGAAGAACTTCAAGACACGGGATCGGCGCAAGCCAGCTCGCCGACCGCGAAAAGGCGCAGCTCCAGAAGCTGGTGATGGGAGGCCAGAGGCGCTGTAGGCCGGAAGGCCAGCTTTTTCGTCCATCGTGAGGCCTCGCATCGCGATAGACGAAATGAAGGTAGTCTCTACACGAAAAGAGCCAAACAAGAGAGCATGGAGAAGAGAAATAGGAGATCCCCGTCCTGTCTTGTGCTACGACCGGAGCAACGATAGCTGATTCTCGTCTGCACAACGGATGTGGATGCCGAAAGATAACGAGCCCAGCAGCTAAAAGCGGCTGCGCTACCCCGAACTGCTTGTTGCAGCGACGAGCGCTGGAGCGGGCCAATCCGAGCCTATCAGACTCGCCACAGCAACGCCAAAAGTTCCAATCTGCAGGGAGCTTGCGGGGTAGCAGCCGCCAAGACACAGCGCTACGGCCCTTGAAACTTGAAATGGCCTGTGTCGCGAACAGATTTGGCCAAGTGTGGCGATGCCATCATTTTCGTCATTCATGGCACACGCGCTTGACGAGGCTGATTTGGCGGTCCACTTATATCTGGTACCTGCGCGGATGATATCTCGTTATTTCCGCAGTGGAGAGAGCTATGCACGGGCAAATAGTATGAGATGCTAATAATTCCAAGTTGATGTAATGTGCGAGCGCTCATCTAGTGGAACAACGGGTGTAACTGATCATTTCGCGATGTATCCCGATTGTTTCACGTTAATCCCTTCCGCTTCCGATTTGTTCATTTTCATGACCATCGTATGTTTGTGTTTCCACATTAAACAGTGTCTAAACCTATGCCGTTGGCGGGCAGTATAGATATAGCACGTAACATATCTGGTTAGCCGTGTGTAATTGTGTGCTGGCGAAAGGCCAATATATCGATCGACAAGAGAACTGGCTTGTAACTTGATTTCATTGTTTGTAATTGACCGCTTTTGGGTTATAAATGAACCTTTTTATGGCTTCTCTCTAAAATTGAGTCTCTCATGACTCGGGTCGATCCAAATGTTGTTGGTTTTCCGCTCAGAGCTTTACTGTGGTTTAGTGCAGCGGTGGCTTAAGATTATGTGAGACGAAACAATACCAACAGAGATACCAGGGCTCTAAAGAAGTCAAAGTGAGAATGCTTCAAGCTTCAATAAGATCTAAGTTTAACAATAAGATTTAAGCCGAATTCGGCTCTTCGGAATTCTCGGCCAAGCTAAAGACTATGGCTTTAGTATGTCTTTCAACTGAGGACTTGATCTTTAAATCTGACTGGTATCCACCAAGTAGGATATATAAGAGAGGCGAAGTAGGTTTTCGGACTTGAAAGAGAAAAGAAGTAACTAAATAACTGAAACTTCTTAGCTCTTGTTTCCGAGCCAAGGCCTGTCTCTTAAAAATGGACGCAAACGACAAGGTGGTTGCAGAACTGGTGCAAACGCGTATCAGTGTTTCTCCTGATCAATATAAAGATGTATACAATCAAAAAATGCACCCTATCTTGATGGCACAGCCTGGCATGATTGCAACGATGGCCGGTGTAGTCACTTCAGAGAATGATCAAGACTCAACAAAGCAAGCGGACGGTGCTACTGTACTTTCACTGGTCATTTGGAAAAACGTGGACTCGCATATTGGTTTTATTACGGGCAAAGCAGCAGGTCCTTTCTTCGAAGCATCGATGCCTTTAATGCGTGATCCACCCTCTGTTGAGCATTACGAGGTGGACGGCTTGCAACCGTCCGCTTTTCACAGCCACTACGCTCAGGTACTGAAAGCTTCTTCTGCCAACAGCAAAGAACTCTTGGAGAGCGTATTTCAGCGACACGTAGCTACCGAGGGGGAAAACAAGGTACTGTTTAGCGATTGCACGGAAGATGCGTCAAAGAAGGCCTTGGTACTATTTAGCGACTCAGACCAATTTGAAGCTACAGCTGGTGTTTTGGATAAAGGGACGGGAATCGGGAAGTATGATGTTAAATGGTACTCAAGGGGAACAACAAGCTATCTTTAAACGCATATGCCTTGCGAAAAGCAATGGAGAGCAGTCATTTAATATCATGGTTGCTTTAAATCTTCTTACTGTATCATATCTACTATCTTGTGTCCTAACAGGTTGGCACATCTCTGAGCCCGGTATTATTAACATTATATGAGTATTCTCTTACTTCAACGCCTAAACCTTCTACAACTTACCATATTGATCTATTCAATATAGCTAGGAATTGTTTTATCATAATTGCCGCTACACGCAGCAGCGACGCATCTCTCCAAGCTTGCGAAATAAAACTTCTTCCCCGTAAGCCCTGGCCCGTAATGAGCATATTTCGCAGAGTTGGTCATGATGGTTTTCGCAGATATTGGAATCACAGGCTCATCAATCATGCACCAACACGTATCGGTAATAAACTGAACCCCAAACCGTTCTAGTTCTTCGACCAGGCCTGCTTGACTTGCTAATCCATGTGTTGCTCTTCCACAAGCTACCATGATAGCTACTCGTTCATCTTTTGTCCGTCCTCGACAAATGTTTGCTAGCTTTCTCATTTCTGTAATAGAAAAGTGCGGATTTCCAAGCGAGATGAGGTCAACAGGCGAGTCATCTTGTGCGCTGTTGAGTGTTCTCCAGCTTGTCTCAAGTTGCCTCAGATCAAGGCTAATAGACTCTATACCATCTCTTTCACCTATCGCGTCTTGTATTGTGGCGGCTTCTGGAGTTACTCCAACGATGTGAAACATTGGAGCGCTTGCCATGGTGGCAAATGCCGCTCCAAATGCCTTTAAGTCGTCCGTCGATGGACGCACCCTCTCAAATCCTGTGATGACAGGTATCCGACTTCCTGAGAGACCACCAACATGATATCCTAGTAGAGGATAAAAGGAATCATCAATATCCTCATGCAGAAGAAGAGGCATCTCTACATGGAGTGAAGCAAGCCTGTTGTGCTTCAAATGAAGGCCTCCGTGCGGAGCACGCCCAGTTAAAGCAATGCATATATCCAGAAAATCCGGATACTTCATGGTCCTTGCACCGAGTACACTATTGGCGTATACCACAGCATTTGATTCAGCCCAAGCTACTTGATCGCCTACTTTCGGTGCACTCGAAAGTAAATAAGGAGCACAAGTAAAGGTTGGACGGCCGCCCATGTCGGTATATGCTGTGGCCAGCTTTTCTGCCGCCTCGCCAAATGTAGATGAAACGCCTTGAGAGCGCCAGCGCTTCTGATCCACGGATATAGAGTTGAGAGAAGTGGGAACCAAGACCTTGCCGCCCCAGTTGCGTAATCTTTCTGCGAATTCGAGCGACCCAGGCCCAGTATAAACACAGCCATCTATATGAACTTGCGTAATGCTTATTAGCTTATCGGCTCCTTCTATAGTAGCCATGCGTAAGATGATACGCATAGCAGCCTGAGCAGCTCGACCATGTAAGCCCTCCAGAAACTCTTTGTCCCCATCAGATAACTCAACATGGTGGTTCAAGCTTGTGCCCTGAAGCTTTTCGGTAGCCGGTTCGAAAACTTCAGGTACACTCTTCAGTTCTCCTTTTGAGACCGTATTCCCATTTATGGTGACATAAGTAGCGTTCTGTAGGTCTTGAAACTCGTCCGTCCCCAGAATCACTACTGGAACAGACTTATTGAAGATCTCTTCCGCAACCACGACTCCAAGGGTGAGAATGTCTTCCTTTCGTGAGAATATCAGGCCTCTTGGGCCCTTGCCATTTAGTATGAGTTCCAATAATACTCCACTCCCAGAGCAAGACCCGCGACCGCTGGGAATAGCGAGAATCGCATCTTGGATGTGTTTGCCACTTAACGGGTGATGGCGATCTATCACCTCGCTTGTTTGCGGATCGACGCCTCCCCAGAAGCTCAATTCGAGGTTACTAGCGACAAGTGGGCCTGAAGCCTTTCCTTCCACGTATGCAATTCCATGATGTGAGACTGGTCCTTTGAGCTGCATTGTGATCAGGAGTATATGTACTTTCGTCTAAAGATGTGCTCATAATAGCGCCTTTAAGGCAGGTAAATATAATTGGAACGCCCAAAGCATGAACCTGGATCCAGGCTCAAAGCATGTATTCCGCTGTCCCACTTGATGGTTATACAGATCGCTGATTGAGAAGATGCGACTTCCTCAATTTTGATCTTGGAGGATCGCGCAAGCCCTGATACTGAAACACATAAGAAGCTCCCATGAGCTAAGGCGTAGGTAGTGTGGAAGGAAACTAGAAGCGTCAAAGACAGCGGGAAATAACCAATCCGGGCATAGTTGTGACTGTGGCGAGTTTCGCTGGGCGAATTTTTGAATCAAGTGCGCGCTCAGAAGTTTGCCGATGAACTAGATTCCCCTCACTGTTGGCCCACTCCGCTTTAATATACGCGGTCGGCGAACTATTAACAATTTAGCCTGCCCCGTGCCCGTGTCGTGTTCCAATATGCCAAATGGCAAGTTGCACGGGATTCGGTAGCAGGGAACTGAAAGTCCTTTTCAATAGCTAGGCGTCCTTGAGGCTAATTATAGATAAAGAGAATATTGTCATATATCGATCTTCCCCGCTGCCATGTTCTTCTAGAATTAGTTGAAGAATCACATCTCTCCCTCAACCAAGTCTATCCCTGCATACGGCTACAGAGGGGAAAATGGCAATTCAGATAAGAGACGCAACAGAAAAAGACATGCCCGCCCTGGCACGGCTTGCAGGCGTCGTATTCCACCCGACAACCGATTGGATCACCCGTCAAGTCTTCCCTCTGCATCTGCAGCCGAAAAATATTCCCGATGGCGACTCATCGCTACCCTGGCGCCAGTTAAGAAAGACAGCGAGCTTCAATACGTCAAATTGCACCGTTAAAGTAGCCGTCGATACCGCCCTGAACAACCAAATCGTTGGCTACGCTGTGTGGGAGCAGCCAGTTGATGATGAGAAGCCCCCAACAGCGCCTGCAGACCCAGAGCTGCCTTCAGATGTCACGGACATGAAGGTCTTTGAGGAGCTCAAGTCAATCTTGAAAGAGGACCATAAAGCCAGTTTTGGAGATAGAGAGCTGAAAGACGTGTGGCGTTTGTCTCCCCTTCCTACATCTCTACAAATTTTGCTTCATAATAAGCAACGCAGTTAACCGATAGTACCCTTTAGATCTCGACATGATTGGGGTTGACCCACTTCACCAGCGGAGAGGAATTGGCAAGGCGCTCTTAACATGGGGCATGCGGCAAGCCACCAAGGCCGGCAGGGATTGCTACCTCATGGCAACGCCACAGGGACGACCGCTCTATGAAGCGTTTGGCTGGGAGATTGTACGGCCGTTGAACATGTTTGGAGTAATGCATCACTCGATGATTTATCGAGCCAATAAAGAAGCACTTTTATGAGGCATGAATGATGAAAGAAGCTGTAAATACATGTAGAGTTTACTGCTCATCACTTACGAAACGTCATGATATAGACAAGAGCGAGAGGGGTTTATAGAGAAAGGATCGTGGAAATTGACAGACTTGACGCTTATGCTATATATTATTGTCTATCTATTGCAACGTGAACTCGTAAAGAAACGTCATAGCCATCCTCGCCATGCCTAATAAGTTCGTCTAAAATTGCTTTGTTAGGGATCTATCCTATAATTAATAACCATCTAACCGGCTTTTCCAATCTATTAAAAAATGTTGAGACATCGCAAAATGAAAGTTGTTAAAAAAGTCGCTAGAGTAGAGATATGCATAACTCTTTCAGTTCCTTTATCTTCTTCACGCCTACTCAGCCTTCTTGGACATCTTCGTTCGGAGCTTCATCAGCAGGTACACCAAAGCGTACGAGCTAAACACCATCAGCACCACGATACCAGCATCTCGCCAGCCGTAGTAGTATTCTTTCAGGTTCAACGTGCGAAGATAATCTTGGCCCTTGGAGTATGAGCACACTTGGCAGTTGGCCGTGGCGCTGGGGTTAATGAGATCTGCCACTGCGCCTGGGCCTGCTGCCAAGTAGTCCTTGAGATAGTCTCCGCAGGTTGTGCCGTTGGGAGGATTGAAAGTGGCGAATTCGTGCTCGGCACACTTGATTTCGGCTCCCCACAGGTTGAAAACCAACATGCTTCCCATGAGATAGTTGAAAGGATTGAGGTAGTAAATCCAGTATCTCCAAAACTCTTGAATCTGGGCATAAGGCACCAAGACACCACAAAAGGACACGAGGGTTCCGATGACGACAGGGTTCGCCAAGACAGCAAAGACTTCGTTAGGCGCGTACGCAGCAATGAACTGACCCATACCGGTGTAGAGGAACTCATAACAGAGCATGACAAAGAAGGTTCCTCCGGCGCGATGAGAGTCGCCGGGGAAACCCACAGTGTAATACCAGCACACAAAGTAGAGCACGGCGCAGACGATGAGGTAAGGAATCTCCGAAACAATAAGAGCAGTTACAAAAGCAATCCATGAGTACATCTTGGACTTCTTCTCGCGTGTTTCGAAAATGTTTCGGCGGTGGATGAAGAGAGGTTGCAGCTGGGCAAGTACACCAGGCGCGACGAAAATGAAGTTGAAGATAGTGAAGAGCTTCAGCTGCAAATCGCCAATGGAGTCCTTGATCATCCAGAAAGAGAAGCCGTTGAACAGAGCCGAGAAGATGTGCAGAGCGAACTTGTTGTTGACGTAGTCGGCGTTGCGGTACAAGCTGACATTCATGCGTTGAGTGACAAGCTTGGTCTGCTCCCAGAGGGTTGTAGCGAATTCATTACCGTCATCCACAGTACCAGGAGGCTTCGATGCAGCCTCGTCAATGATTCGATCAAGCTCCGTGGTCATGTTGGAATACTCGGGAGATGCGAGCCAGACCTCGTTCCAATCCTTGCCCTGGGAAAGCTGTCCTGAAACCACGTCAATCATGTGCTCAGCAGGGTTCACCTCTGTTGGGCACGCGGCATCGTAACGGGCAAAGTATTCCTTAACGACCTTGGCCTGATCACCAATCTCTCCGAAATAAACAGTCTTGCCACCCTTTGCGAGCAACAAAAGCGTATCGAATTGAGCAAACAGTTGAGCAGAAGGCTGGTGGATCGTGACTAAAACGGCTTGACCGACGGCAGCGAGCTTTCGTAAGAAGCGGACAGTGTGGTAGGCAGACTGGCCATCCAGACCAGAAGTAGGCTCGTCCAGGAAGATCAAAATGCTAGGCTTAGAGACAAGTTCAACACCAATTGTGACACGCTTGCGCTGTTCAACGCTCAATCCCGCGCCTACTTCGCCAATCAAAGTGTCGGCAATATCGTGAAGTTCCAAGAGATCGATAATGGTGTTTACATAGGCTAACTTCTCCTCACGTGGCGTATCACGGCTCTGTCGGAGCAGAGCAGAGAATTCCAAAGCTTCTCGGACAGTGGCGTAGGCCTCGTGCACATCGAGCTGTTCACAGTAACCGGCAGATCGTTGGAAAGAGACGGGCAGTGGTCGACCGTCAACCTGGATGGAGCCACGAATAGTACCTTCAGTCTTTCGCTGAGCAAGGACATCAAGCAATGTAGTCTTTCCAGCACCAGACGATCCCATCAAAGCAGTCAGGTTTCCAGGCTTAACCCAGCCTTGGACGTTATCTAGCAACAGACGGTCGCCTGAGGGTGTCTTGACAGTGTAACAGAGGTTCTTCCACGTGAAAACGGAGGAATTGCGAATGAGGTTGCCTTGGGCGGCCACGGTATCATCAGTCGAGTTGTTATCGGACTGGGCATTGACGGTGGCATCATCCTTCTCTGAAACGTGACCTGATTCTGACGACACCTGGCCCTCTTCGTCGACTTGTCGAACAGCCTTGACAAGCTTGGACTGCTCTCGGGGAATAAGCAAGCTGGGTCCGTTCTCAGACGACAACTTCCACTTTGTGGTGAAGAAAATGGTAATGGCCACAAACAGAGCCCACCATGCCCAGATGATTCCAAAGTTCCTCCATACGTGCGAATGGCTGTAAGAGAGTGACGCAAGGTACAAGTCGCCATCGACAAAAGTCTGTCCCGGAACGGCACCACCTACACCAGCACAAGCTTGAGCGCCTGCATCAGTGAAACCGGGGCCATTGGGAACAATGTTAGGGCCGACACAAGGGATGATCTTGCCGTGAAACTCGTTTGAGAGAATGGCATCGAATCCATAAGCCATTGGGTCGATCCAGAAGAGCCAGACAAACCAGGGGTGCATGCGTGGCTTCTGAATCATGTAGCCGTTGTACATGATGGTAGCAGAAATGATCAGACCTGAAACCTTGGATGCGCCATCAAACGTGCTGAAAGCTGCACCGATGGCTCTGAAAAGGGCAGTCATACACTTAACAAACAAATTAGCTCAAAGGTCAATGATAGACGAGAATCAGGTAGACACTTACGAAAGTGGTAGCCACAACAATGATCCAGAAAGTGAAGAAGTGGCCCGCAGACATTGTCAAACCAACCATGAAATACAGAATCAGAGAGAAGGCAGAGACTTGCACCAGGATGACGGGGATATCAGCAGCAATCTGCGCAATGCAAAAGGCTGCGGGGTGGAAGTATGCGAATGACTTGTGTTTAATCAGGACAGGGCGGCCTTTGAATGACTCGGTGACTTCGGACATGGACAGCAGCGCATTGAAAAGCAAAGCGAAGAAACAAGCTCCGGACTTCACGAATAATCCTCCGGTAGTGTCGGGAGCGTTGTAGAAAAGCGAACCAGCAATGAGTGCTTGAACAATGGTAGAGAACTGCTTGATGAAGAAAGTTGCCTTGTCACCCCAGATGATCTGGTATTGTCGCTTGATACATGTCCGCACTTGAGTCCAAAAGCTCACTGTGAATGAGCTTGATGCCGGCAATCCCTTGTCCTTTTCATAGGCAACGCCCTCTTGGAACAACTTGGTCTTGGTCTGCGCCTCCTCTGTTGTCGGGTAGTTGTATTCAGCTATCGCTTGGTTGTAAACAGCAGTGTTTTCGTATTCGCTGCGGATGGCGCCTGCAGTTCGGGGAAACTTGAGCTTCATCTCGTCTCGGACTTTTCTCTCGGTAGGGACGGTCACACCGGTGAGGAAGTCAGCCACGTTGGCTCCATCGTCGCAGATGAAGCCCAGGTTCTCCATGAATGGTCGAGCCTCGCGCATGGGGCCGTAGTAGATCTCTTTGCCTTCGTCCAAAACAAGAACTTTGTCGAAGAGGTTATAGATACCGTTGCCGGCTTGGTATAGAGTAACGATGGAAGCTAAGCCGAGGACATCGGTCATGGCTCGAACGGCCTTTGCCCACTCGAGAGCACTATAATATGAAACAGGTTAGACGATGAACACCTTTTTTTTTGGTAAGAATATTACACTTACGTGCTGGCATCAAGACCACGCGTTGAGTTATCCCAGCAAAAGACACTGCCCTTGGATGCGAGACACTCGATGATGGATACTCGCTTTCGTTCTCCTCCAGAAACACCTCGGACAAAAGCATCGCCGACTTTGGTATCTTCCGTGTGCTCAATACCCATGGACTTGAGTAGAAACTTTCGGGTCTCCTGGCGAATTTCCTCCTGGCTAGTGATACCATTGGGTAGATTATATGGTACCTTTAATCGTGTTGCAAAGTCCATAGTCTGTCCCACAGTCAAAGATGGGAAGAAGATTTCCTCTTCAGTGTTCATGATAATTTGGCCCCGATAGCGTTTTGCCTCTTCGGCCTTCATGGAACCAAAGGAAACGTCGCCGGAAATCTGAGCATATCCATGTCGTCGGTTGGCCAACATGTTGAGTAGTGTGGTACATCCGGACCCTGGTCGACCCAGCACGAGGAGCATCTCCCCGGGCTTGACACATCCATGAGCATTGTCGAGGATTTTCTTCAAAGGCGGCTTTTGGCGAGATTCCTTTATCAGTTTGGGGATGTTGAACTGGGAGACGACATTTTCGTGGATGGCTGCATCAGCACTGATAGCCTCGACAGTGAGATTCTGGAATGTGACTCCGAGCTCGCGGGCTTGGAAACCGGAAGCTTGATCGCGGTCATTGATGGCGGTGATTTCTGGCTTCATAAACCAGCTGCTATCGACAGCTTCTTTTTCACCCACTGAAGCGTTGAGGTCTGTGAGCGTCTCGCCGTATGTGGACTCCATCATGTTGTCAGGTCCGTGTTAGTGGCTAAGACACCACGTACTGCAGAACTGAAACAGGATGTGGCGAAAGGAGCTTATAGAGACTCTACAGAGGAAAAAAAGAAAGAAGGAGATTTTCTTGATAGCGAAAGTCCGCCATTTTTAACAGCTGGGAGGCCCTCGGCTTCAGCCCACAATTGATTATCTAGATACCGCAATATGTCAAATCGGTGGATACTCGGTGCTGGAAGAAGGCCGAGACGGACCCCCGGGCTGATTTCTATCTTAAATCCATAGCCATAATGGGGCACAAGAGCAGGATTGAAAACCCCATTGTGACTCAGCTCATGGGGCTGCAGGATTCTAGATAACGTCTGAAGCGCAAGGCAAACGTCTGTGTTTGCGTGGCCAGGAAGCTGGAAGATGGACCGCCTCCTCCGTGTAACCACCTCGCACTCGGATAGCGGCTCCACGAGCTTAAAATTTCCCCTGGGCGCGGCTCCACGGCGGGAACCTTGTCAGAAGCAAAGAACTTGCTCGCTGTTCCGCTTAGTCAGGCAGTCTGGAGCTCCAAACAAAGGTCGGAGGAGGATCCACCCCAACGTTGGTCTGCGGCTATCTTCCCGGTGAATCTGGAATTTGCTTGTGACATGGGACCCGGGAATTTCGCTGTTTTCGCTTTTCCTTATTTGGGAGCATCGGACATTACCTTGGTGAACGATTAACGATGCAGATGTGTTTGCTGTCTGGCACATCCTCAGGGGTGTAATGCAACGGCTACACAACTACCGATGGCATGAGTCGACTAGACGCCCAAGCATGGCGATATCACCACCCACCCTTTGACATTGTGTTTTCTGGTGTTCGATATGCAGTTGCATGATGATGTTATTGATGCCTGTTTGCAGCAGTGCCCGTGCTATCAAACTCTATCCACGAGGAGTAGAATATAGAACAAGTCACTTCCCTAATGAGTACACGAATACTCCACATTCTACCAAAGCTCCGTTGACTAAGCGGAACAAAATCTCACTCCAATCTTCCCCAGGTCTCCTTTTTAATCTTGCCGTGAACTTTGTCGCCAGTAGTTGCGGCACATGACAAAATTGCGTCGTCTATCGGGACAACGGTAAGTGCTCCCACCGTGCTCCGTATTGCAAATCAACTCCGATGAGGATTACATAGCCTTAGCGGATTATTCCTCAGCAAACGGCTGTCGTCCAATACTTCAGGAGCAAGCCCCCATCGGCATCCCAGCTTCTGATACCAGCCTGGCCACAGCGCGTCTGACGCCATGCGTCAACTCGCCAGCTCGGCTTTACTCCCTGCGGCCAAACCGTTGTTCCAGCCCGCTTTTATTTCTCAGCAGTACTAAAAACGCCCGTTCGGACAGGGCTGCTTGAGCGAAACTTCCGCTTACTCATCGCTTGCGGGCTTGGGCTTAGGCTGCTTCGGATATCGACGAGAGGCGAAAGCCTATTCGTGACGAGGCCAAAGCCCGAGCCTGACAGCTATCTACCTGGGTATCTACTTGGAAACTTCCGAGAAATATTTTCTCTCCATGGATAGAGCCAGGAATTCGCCCATCACAGACGGGGCCCAGCACAAGATGGCCGCGCAACGACGTGCTTGCGACGCCTGCTATAAGCGTAAGGTATTTTGATAATCCCCGTACATTGACTCCATTGTCTGGGTATTAGCCAGCTGCCTCTTGCATAACTTCAATGCCATGTTTCTTCATAAGCGGAACTTTCATCTGATATCCTTCTTGTCTTATCTACCCTACAAGCACACATCATGATATGGGCATCTACCGAGATACATACACTTACACGTGGCAATGGATGCTCGTATAGATTCAATGTGATCGATCTGATCCGGATGAACAATGCAACTGGTGTCTACACCATGGTCTCCACTGTACTATTAACCGGATCAGAGGCCGGAAGAAGAAGACAAAGTAAGTACAAGTACCCTACCAACCTGCCGCCTTTGTGTGGTGGTGGTGGTGTGTTTTACCATGTCCGCTGACAAAGACGGTGGGAAAGGAGCTCCAGAGAGAGCATTGTTAAACGCCTGGAGCGTATAGAGGAGGGCATTGCTAGGGCTAAAGCTCTGAAACAGAGCACCCAGACAGCCTCACCTGTTTCAGCGGATTCGCCTGATGGCTCCAATGCCCAACAAGGGAAAGCTACTAGTACACCCAGCAGCATACCCACCAATACATCCATAACACGCACTCTTAGTCGCTCCAGCGAGAATTCGCAAGTTTGCTCTAGACAGCTAGGTGCTTCTCCGCTCGGACAAATATGGATGTCAGGGCAGAAGTTTGCTGCTATATGCGACCAGAACGGCATTCCCCGATTTACTCCCCTTGGTGAGAAGTACATATACGCTCAGACGGGGCAGTGGCCTCACTTCCACAACCAGAGCACCTTTGCCTTTGAATGCCCTTTTCAGGCCTCTTCCGGTGCTTTAACTCAACATTCCCCCAGGGGACAATTAAACCGAACACCAGCCGATCAACTCCCAGAGAAATGGATCACCAACACATTGTTCGATCTTTTTTTGCAATCGGAATTCCGCCTTGCCTTTCCCCTTGTCGATCGTGAGCTATTTAAAGAGACAATACGAATAGCCTATGACTCGCCGGAAACGAATCCGACAATTGAGGAGATTAGCAGCAAAGCATGCGTTTTCGCTTTCTTGTCCCTCAGCAGCCATCATTTTGCTGCCTTGAGCGTCTCAAATCATGTTGACAGCGATGGCTGTGCTAAGCAAGCGCAAATCTTGATAGCCGACTTTATTGAAGATGCCAGTGTCACGACGTTACAAGTGATGGTACTATTGGTATGTCATGATTCAGAATATGTCACATTTTATAGCTGTTTCTAACGTCTTGCAGCTCATGAATGAAGCGCTCTGTGGCCGCTTAGAAGCATCATCCATGTACCACGCCATTGCATGCCGTACAGTCTATGCCCTGGGAGGACATACTCTAATAAGTGATCCACCAGAGGATCGTGATCTTACGGTCAAGGAGCTCGAAGAGCGTCAGATTCGACTTCTATTCTGGCTATGCTATCTCTTTGATAAAGACATAGCCCTAAGAAGCGGCCAGCCTCCTATCATGAGCGACGAGTTTTGTGATCTCACGCTTCCCAAAGATTACTTGAAGAATCGCTTCGCGAATGATCTTTCCATTCCACAAAACATTCGAAAGCCGTTCTTGCCCAACGACCTTCGGTTAAGCATACTCAAATCGAAGGCTGTCAGGGCTCTTTACTCTGTGGGCTCTTTGCGTAAATCCGACGCCGAACTTCTTCACACCATTCGAGAACTCGATGAAGAATTGGAGAATTGGCGTACTTCGATACCGGCAGAGTACGCACCGTCGCTCAGTATTCGCAAAGATGTCAAACTTGCCAAGGATATCAGCCAGTTGACGAGCATGCTTCATATCGAACTGCATTTAGACTACCATTATCTCTTGAATATTATTCACTGCGCTAGTGGTCGATGCGTGGCAGATTGGAATGAGTCTGGCCAGGAAATGATCTTTGGGCTGGAATCCAGTCTCGATATATCCGTTGAAGCTAGTCGATCGACTCTCATTTATCTTAGTGAGGCTGCGCCTCGGTTGGCTGGCGAAGCATTCTGGTGAGAACATACAATTTTGCAAATAGAATCTATTGAGTGATTAAATACTAATAGTCTATGCACTAGGGTCTTCATCTTCTATCCTGTTTCCGCGCTTCTTAGTCTCTTTTTTAATATCCTACGAAATCCTCGGCACGAATACGCAGCTCACGATATGGAGCTACTTACCCTGGCAACAAATGTCATCAGAAGTATGCCTATTCTTAGAGTTACAACTCACGAGGTCGAATATTTACGCAAAATGGACGCTTTTGTTGAGGAGCTGGGTCGACTTAGCCAAGCGGCAATCGCAAAGGCGCAGAATGAGAATGCCTAAGCAGAAGGATGATTGCTGACAGTGGGCGTTTGGTACTTGTACTATTATTTGGTTCTGATGTTCAGTTTAACACGATTCAAGCGATGGGTGCTAATGAGAGAGGGATACTGGCTCCTCCTGGAATTTTATAGAATCTGATATACACGATTGTAATAATGAAGATAATGAGATTGGCGGTAATCTAGGCACGAGAATATGAAACATGCGGTCCTATTGTACATTAAAACATGTTTCATGCTGATTAAACATCTATGTGGCTCACGAACATACGCAAGTGCCTTTGAATCTGCACAACATGAAATGTTAAGTATTCTTATACACTACAACGCCGATAATAGGTTCTTTCTTCTGATATACTTCTTTTAATAACTTTAGGCTTCGAAAAAGAAAACCGTATCATTGCTTCGAGCAACATCCATCTCCTTCAACTCATTTGAATAGAGCAACACTCTCGTAAGCTTTGTTTTCGCTATCGCTATCATCATAGCCATCTTAATCATCATCGGTATTTTCAGTTCCAAACAGTGCTCCCGCACTCCGATCAGCCTTCATTCTAACCTTTTCTCCCCTATACATCCAATATGTAGACTCTCGAATTCGATAAGCGAAATCACACTCTTGCTCGGTATTCATCTCCGAAACAACTGCCTGCGTGCTCTTATGGCACCGCCCTGCAGTCCCCAAGTCAGTCCCTCCCGGGTATATGTATGAGGCAGTAACACCCACCCCTGCAGAGCCCTGTTTTGACGCGTCTTCTTTGATGCAAAGCTTTTTCGCTGACGCAACGCGAATTATCATGTATAATGTCTTCGAGAAATTGCAGTTCCTTACATATTCCTGCACTTCGGGGGCCTCCATGCTTGCATTCATATAGTCTCTACCAGGCAAGAACAGTTTTTGCACCAGGGTTCGGGCCTGGGGACTGCCCCTCCATTCTTCGCCGCTGTTCTTGTTGATGAAGCATTTGCTGCTGGCGCATGGCAGCTGCTAAGCTCGTGTTGTTCATCCCAACTGGATTGCCGCCCTGTTAGTCTGCCTACGTAGTCAATGACAGACATCTATACCGGTGGGATACTTGTATTGCTGCAACTGCTGCTGCTGTTACAGCCGCTGCTTTTCCCAGGCCATCAAAGCTTGCATGTTGGCGACATTGATAGACTTGGTACCGATCAGATCACCGCCGCGTTAGTCTGCCATATCATGGCGGACATGTTCCCCTAGAACAATGCTTACATTGTTGCTGCTGATCAAGCTCATTACGATGCGGCTGCTTGCTAAACCTTTGCGTTGACGGTACGGATATTTGCTCCGGTTGGCCTGCATGCTGCACATCAGTGGAAGATTGATCCGGCCCAGTAATGTATTGCGACTCGGCTCGAGCCATCATGAGGCATTGCTTTTGTTGTTGTTCCATTGTCATCAGCTTCTGTATAGCCCTTACCTGGTCGGGTTCGAGTCTGTGCCGCTTATCACGAAAAAATGGCCCTGGCCCTATAGTAGTTGCTTTTGGGTCCCGGCCTGACGTTCTTTTTCTTTTTGTTTCAGTATAGCCAGCTGTGTTTGATAATCGTGTAATGCGTGATTATGCTCTGGGCGCCGTTGTTGGTGCTGTTGCGCCGTTTCGCTAAACCCGTGCGCTTTCTTTTGTGCTGCAACATCCGTGTTATTGACAGCACGCTGAAGGCTCTCTGTCATCTCGCTCTGCCGGGTGCTTATTGTTGTAATTTCTGCAATTTTCCGTGCTATACCGTGGCACTTTGACATATGAGCCTTGAGTGCACGAGAAGAAGGTAACAGTGGGTACGGGCAGCCAGGGACTGTACAATTGATTCGTTGTACGTGTCTTCGCTCATGCTCCGACAATTTTTTTTCGTCAGCGAAGCCTTTGGTTGCGCAGGGACAATTTCGAATACGACAAGTAAATGCGGCTGTTCGAAACTCTCGTTTAAATATCTCCAACTCTCCTAATGTTATTCCTGGGAACGAGGAGATCGACAATATGTGCCGGATGCTAGCTTGGTAGCTAGTCAGCAAGTCCTTGAGACTCCGGGGTTCAGACCAGGTGAGACCAGCAGAAACTACAGACAGAGTAATGTCATGTTAGTGATGACCCCTTGTTGATCGACGTTGCACTTACAGATTTCATGTTTGGCTTGACCAGAATTTGTTTTCGCGGACCTCTCCATCAAAGCATACCGTATCATGTCATATACGGCGCCTTGGTCTGCGAAATTGCTTAGACGATTGTCTAGTGTACGCAATTCTTGCTCTGCAGAAGTTTCTGTTAGATGTCTCGCCGCATATAGGCGACCCGCCAATATTTTAGCTGTCGAGCATAGAAGAGCCGCAATTTCGCTGCCATCGAAAGCAGCACTGCTACATAGCAGGTCTTCGAGCCAATACTCTGTTGCATAAATGTGAAAACCATGAATGCCTCTCAAGATTCTCAAATTTCGGTCATTAGCGTCATATGCTGTATCGAAGATTCGAAAACCGGCTAGTAGACAGGTGATAGCTGCCACTCCATGTTCGCATCTCGCATCGGCCTCGATCAAGGCAATCGTACTGTCGGGCGATTTGAGATGGCTGCAAGTAAGAACAGACTCAGTAATGCTTCCATTGAAGCGGGTAATTTCACTTCACTCACTCTTTGACTGAAACATGAATGAATGAGAAAGTATTATCCTTATTCTCTTGGATAAGCGGCATACACATTTCAAAAATGTACTGGGGTGGCATCATCGGAGTTTCTACAACTCCTTGACTAAATGCTATAGCTGAGCGACATTCAACTTGTGTTAGTGGCCGCCTGGCGAATGCTACCCATCCTAAAAGAGATTTGATTCGTCCTAGTGATCTGGTGTCCAGCCTGGCAATCATCTGTGACAAAATTCGTTCATAGCTTTTTCTCAGCATTAGTGAAAGAATAATAAAGCGTTTTGAGAGCACTCACAACTCGCTCAGCTCCCTAGGAAGCATATCAACTGAACGGAGCACCTCTTCACAATCGTAGAAGATATTTGATGATATATAATCCAGGACCAGCCGAGCCCATAGAAACATACCTGCGAATTGTTAGCGGTGCAGGCATTGGCGATAGCTGTGATAGATTGGTACCGTTAGATTTCAAGGATACGCGATGAGAGAGGTCTTGAATATCTGCATCGCGTATGCCAAGGTCTGAGAATCGATTATGCAAGAGGCTTAACTTCCGATAAGCGTATTTCTCGATGGCCTCTCCAATTCTACCTTTTTCGTCCGTAAGTGAAACAGTTGATCGCTTTCGAAATCTCTTCAACAAGAATGATGTTGGCCGACTGGAAATCAGGATTTTGACCACCCCAGAATTCGCTGGGCTCCCTAACGAAATCAGCGTCTCTAGTAAGCTCGTTATTCTTCCTTGTTTCTCAACATCGCATTCATCTAACCCATCCAGAATGATATGGACATATTTCTTCTTGGAAGGAATAGGTGAGATAGCTTCGCAAATGGTCCGGATCAACTGAGACAGCGATTTGATCGAAGCGGCTTGTTTCGCCAATACAAATTCCTCATAAACATAGTTTATTAGTTCACTGTTTGGTCGAATCAGCTGAATGAGTAGAGATCGGAGAATTTGATCAAATTGGATTGATGAACCATAAGAGTAGGTGCAAAAATGGCGAGCAACGAGAGACTGATGGCTGCTTCGAAGAAAAGTGTCAATTTGTGTTGCCAATACACTTTTACCCGCCCCTGGATGACCTTGAAGCCAAACGAACGGTGTTTCCGATTGAGTTTTCATCCACGACACGAGAATCGGTTGTTTCAATATCCAGTTGCAAGTCCCTTCATTCTTTTCTGCTTGTGACGCGATCGAGTCAAAGATGACTTGTTGGTCTGCATCATCCATTTGCAGCCATCCAACAATGGCTTGGTATTGTCTAGTAGAGACCTCATCTTTTTGCTTTGCAACGTCATTAAGACTTTCATCTCTCTGATCACGTAGACTTTCTCTCATCTTGGAGGCTTCTAAGATATTGACAGCATTGGCCGTCTTGTCAATGAGCTCCTCGTGAGCTTTGATATCAATGAGAATCGTGTCGAAACGCCGTTGAAAGCGACCCCATGATGTGAATACGCGGTAACAATTCGCTCAAAAGCCTCGACAAAGTCTGATGCGACCTATACCGCACACATATTATATTATTTGAATCCTATTAGCTTGGAGGAGACATCTTTGTCTTTGAATCACTTCGAACGCGCAGAATCGTTGACCCAGGCCCCTAAGTTTCCACCAAAAGTAACGGCTCTTGTAGCTCAGCTCAAAGCCCTTCCACCGGGTGTCAAAAGGTACACGGTACATGTATTCCTTCTACGTCCTTGTTGAGCTAGGTTAACATAATTCAAGCGTCGTCTTCTCGACTTGGCGAACCACTCTGGATATTATCGAAGCCGGGCTAAATCAAGCATCTATACAATGCCTTTGTTTTGACGGAGGGATTCCATTGAGGGAAAGACAGACTGTCATTGACCGATTTCGTCAGCAATCGCTACCAAGTGTACTTCTACTAAAACTGTCTTGTGGCGCAGTTGGGTAAGATACACGCTTTCCTTCATACTTGAAATTATAATTACAATCTAAAAGCTCGTCATTTTGCTAAATTTGGCAGGTTGACACTGACTGTGGCTTCACACGCATTTCTGATGGAGCCCCACTGGTAAGTTGTAGCGGCATCACTTGCGAGCAAGTGAGTCACACGCACAAAAATACTAGAACAATTGTCTAATGGATTACCAATTGCTCCAATGTTTAGCGTGTAATGGACGTTCAAAAGTCAAAAAGAGAAATGTCAGCTGTTCTCTTACAGCCGCAGGAACCAGGGGCAGGCACCAGTTTATCTACGCTACAGGTATGTCAGTACTAGCCGTATAAGTATTCAGAGCTAACTAGACACAGAGTCTGCGGTCTCTTTTGTGATTTTCTTTAATGAGAATGCTTTAAATTTCGTATGTATTTGGCTTTTGGAAGTTGATAGCTGTAGACTGTCAACTTTTAAATACCTCTTGATTATGTTCTCAGGATTGGCCTGCACCGGCCAGACGCTAATAAAATCACATTTTACATGTGTCTTTCCACCATTGCGAATACTGTCATCTTTCAACTCTACTTGTCCACCTTTACCTCCAGTAAAAGGTCCTCAAATTGAGCAGCCACAGCACTTACTTGCGCGGCAGATGCGTTGACAGTGGCTAGGTCCAAATCAAGAAGTGATCTTGTGTCTAAATCATCCGGAGTACTGTGGTGTTGGCCCAGCTCTATCGTCTCTTGCCTTATTCGTCCTACCTTTTCAGGAGCAATGATCCCACACTTCAACGCCATGCCGAGAAGTCCTCGGGCCAGTCACGGACCATGACACACGATATCTCCCGCATAAATCCTCCAAGGCTGCTAGGCAGGGTCGGATATATAAGCGCCGCTCTAATTGTTCACTGCCCTGCACATCTTGGACTACCGCATGGCCAACGTAGGTTAGTACTATTTGCGAAAGGATGGAAAGGCTAGCAGGTAGAAAGGATATGCAAATCATGAGAAGCAGGCGCTTCAACTGGTTAATTGAGGCATCGTATACAGCTCGCGGCATGACTTGTGGCGGTTCAAATGATCTCATACGAAAGGGCGTTGTTGATAGGTTGGGAAAGCTTCGTACAAATCCGCAACCATTGCATGGAAGTAGATGCTAATCTTTGTTAGTACTTTGATGTAAGTTAATAGGTATGAGACCAGATGTGATAACGTACTGCATCATTATAACGGCATGTGTGCTCTGCTCGCTTCGTACGAGGTCGAGCGGTAGTGTTAGCTCAGCTTAATAATTGCCGGAAACTTGTTCCGCAGCTTCATGTCGATGAGATGCTGCTACGTATATAGAGAAGGTTCAACCTTAGTTTTCCGTTGCCGACAAGCATCGCAGCCCGCGTTGTATTCGGTAGTCTGCTTTAGTGCTCGGCTGATCCGACTCGCGGTTGCTTTCATCGCTCGGCGGGAGTTTCGGTCGTAGTGACCAGTACGAGGCGACCATTTGTGTAGTGGAACTGCTAAGATGGGGAACCCACTCTTTGGACCCCTAGGGAAATGTGGCTCCAAGTATACAGTAGTGCATCCCGAGTCGACAGTAGCGTTTGTTGGAGGGTCAGACTTAATCTCGATGGAATGAAGGCTAGTCCCGGCTGGCATATGCTAGTCTGATAATATGTGACATGTAATTGCTTGAAGCCGAGGCCAGAGCCGCAAGAAGAGACAGTAACGCTGTTGGTCTGGTTAATGCATGAAGATATCTTCTAATGCTGTCGGTAGTTCTAGGCGTAGTATAGTTAGAGGTGACAAAGTTGACAATTAGCTTGAATCTCTCGCAGCTCGTCTGTTGGACTTGGAAGCTCCAAACTCACATACATGTAGCTTTCTTCGCCGCCCTAAGAAGTTTAATCCGAGTTAAGCTTCAAGCAAGTTGACGTAGATGCAGGAACTTGCTACGTGCCTTATATATATAACAGGATGATTGCAATCAATGCCTGCTACAACATGTTGTAGGAAGCGTCTCTTCTTGTGCAACTGTCGTGCTACAACTTTGATTTCTGACTTCATCAGCTTCCGACGTCGCTCAATTCACTATTTTCGGTACGCCGAGGGCTTTCTGACGTGCCCCCCTGTGCGAGATGGAAGCCTGGATGAAGCCACAATCATTCAGCTGGGAGGAAATGGAGAACAGCGTAGGATCAAACATACCTTACCCACGAAAAGCATTTCAGCCGATCTGATTGGCTGCCGGAGCTTTTCCCGCCCCCAAATTCCACCATTATAAAAGAGATGTAAAGGGAGACATCAACACAGTCAGGCGTAGGCCTCTCCTCCAGGTACGTGTACACGCGAAATCTGGATTTAGAAGATGCCGCGTCCCCTTCGTGCGCTGCTCCCAGCAACGGAGCGCTCCAGCTCCGCCTCAGATGCAGCTGCGTCGTCTAAGAGGAAGCGCTCACAGGCAGTCGTTGCTTGTGAGGCATGCCGCAAGAAGAAGTCAAAGGTGAGCCAATCCGCACTGCCTGAGAAGGCGTCATAATAACGCAGTGAACCGTATCTAGTGTGATGCCGAGCGGCCAACCTGCCGGAGCTGCGAACTGCGCGGCTCCGAGTGCGTCTACGATGCGGATCCAGCCGAGACACGCGGCCAGGCGCTGCGGCGCAAGTTCAACGCGCAGCAGCATAAGCGCGGCGTCCACGAAGAGTTCCACCAGATGCTTCGCTTCCGCCCCGAGGTCGAAGTGGTCGAGATCCTGCGCCGCGTCCGTGCCGGAGTAACTATCGAAGACATTGTGCGCCACGCCCGCTCGGGCGATCTGCTCCTCCAGCTGTCTGTCAGCCCCGAGAGACACTATCACTACAGCTTGGGCCGCGTGCTCAACATCCCCGATTTCCTCAGGGCCAGCAACCAATACACGACGTCTCTAGTCTACCGCAAAAGCTTCGATCCCAAGTGGCACTGGTCGTCGCCGCCTCAGCTCCCGCCCAACGTGGCAGACTATCGTGCTCTGTACGAAGCGCCGTTCCATGTTGCGGAGATGGTCGATGCCGACATTGACGCGGCGGAGCCGTCCAAGTGGACGTCTGTCTCGTCTGATGACGCGCTGCTGCGTGATATTCTCAAGTCCTACTTCATGCGCGAGTACCTCTTCTTTCCGTTCTTCCACAAGGACTCCTTTCTCCAAGACATGATCTCTGGCCGACGTCGCTTCTGCTCGTCGCTGCTCGTAAACGCTGTTCTCATGGCCAGCTGTGTGAGCCTCTCTATCCTTGCCCCTTCTCGTTCGGCCCCTGCTAACCCAAGTCATCACCAACCGCTAGCATAATTACAGCAAACTCCAGGGCCGGTCCGAATTCTGGAACCCCGAGTCTTTGACTTATCGCTTCATAGCTGAGACACGACGCCTCTGGGAGCTGGAAACCGACGAAAAGTCGATAACTAGAGTACAGGCCGCCTTGATTCTCCAAGGCCAGTACAGCATAAATGGGCTAGACAAGATAAGCTGGCCTTACATCATCCAAGCGGTAGCCACGTCTGAGGAAATTGGCCTCTTCACTACCTATATCCGTCCGAGCAGTCGAAAGTGGAGGGCTGTGCAGGAGATAACAGCATGGATCGTGTTTTCGTATCAAGCGTAAGTATTCAATGACAAACAAGACACGCCGTGGGCTAGAAGGCTGATGATGCTTCGCTAGTATGCTGTGCCTCCATTTACACAGGCCACCGCTCATTACAACACGTCCTGCGTTAGCACTCCCGGACAACCCAGAGGCGTATGGAGAGATCTGGGTCAAATATCCAACTGCCTCCACACCGGTGCCTCTCCATTTGGGGCAGATCTTCAAGACCAACATAGGATTTCGCACCATCTTATTCGACATCTTATGTAGCCTGCTTCCTTCACCTTCGGCATTAGAAGGGAAGAAGATACTGCTTTCGGTAAATCAAGCAACGGAATACCATTCTAGGCTCCGAAAGTGGTACGAAGAACTACCAAGCTATCTCAGCTCACAAAATCTGATACTTCCTGTACATTTCGATATACAGTGAGTTTCTTATGCTTTGGGTCTTTTGAAACCCCTAGAAAAAGGGGAGGAATGAAGCTTATACAGACTAGTATGCATTATTGGTTCACCACGGCCCGGCTATTTGAACAAGTTAGCGTTATAGAAGAAGGTGAAGATGCGGACTCCCCGCCAATGGAAGAAAGCACCGGGAAAATAATCACCGGTGCGCTGGCAAATCTACAAACACTCATCCGGCTCTACTATTCCTGCCATGGCAGCGACTCATACGACCCGTTTCTCGTTGCCATGTGTTCATATATTGGCTTCGGCGCGCTTCATGCCATTTCCCTGTTAGACGATTCGGCCTCCGCAGTTCGTGAAGCTCACGAGTCAACGGCGCTTCTATGCGCGGGCGTCCTCCACGACCAAAGCACCAATGCCTACATCTTTGATATCGTCTTCCGCCTCATGCAGCAGAGTCTTCCGCCCGCCGTAGCTGCCGAGCTAGTCCGTTTTTTCCATATCAGCGATGTTAATCAGTCCAAAGCAGCTGTTATATCGCGCCACGTCCAGTCGTCCTGGCCAGTGACCGTGGCAATGAAGCCCGGTAATACTGAAGATCGCCGGCTCGACAACTTGCTCCGGGCTATCAAGGAGCTTTCTGTCGACGACTCGGACGACGCGGCAACGCCCTAAAGCTTGAGCCAGGATAGTTCGACGAGAGCAACAGCTTGAGTGGCGATAAAACACAAAGCCGTATTTCCTATGCTTCGGCAAAGAGGACACCCATTTCGTATATAGCTACGCCCAAGATATTGCAGGGGTCTGAAGGATAGTGGCAATAAGTATCGTGAAGGCGGTAGCCCACGTTAGCAGCGCGCTTTGGAAGAAGGAAAGATGGGCTTTAAGCTTTGGGTGGATCTCGACGTGCTGCCTGATAGTAATCGACTGGCAGTAAGGGGAATATAGAAGAACGAATAATATGGAAGACTGTAGACTATAGAACAGCGAAGGGTATGGAAGAGAGAAGGTTATAGAAGAGTGAGAATACAGAAGAAAAGAAAAATGCTTAGTATAGAAGAGCGAAGAATACAGAAAGACGAAGAATATTGAACAACGAGTTTCAGTCATCCGTTTAAACAGAAAGTTGCTTAGTTTTAGTCGCGGATCCGACATATGCAGCTGATGTTAGAGGCTGCTTGCAAAGCGATAGCCATATTTAGCACTATTTAGGGATTCGTCTACGGCGACCTTTATAGCAACAAGTGACCGTGGCTTATCTCTGTTTTTAACGGAGTACCACACAAAGAACAGAGAAAGTGTTGGAGATGAGAGAAAAACAGATGATCCGGCGTTACCGGTATCCTATGCATAGGAAATATTGCCCTTTTCATCGAGGCGAAAGAAAGGTGGCGACGCGAAAGGCCTTATGAAAAACTCAGTTTGTGCTCAATCGTGCTCAACTGCCGACGCAAACAGCACCATCGCTACGCCCGGCTCATAACGGGAAACCCACAGCTCGTGATACATCAGCTTAGTCCCACCTGCATTCCGGGTAAGCTATGCCTACATTGGTGAGCACGTTTCTACTCCCGACCTTTTCCTTTGAACCGTCTCTAGTACGGCTAATTTGTTGTCAGGTTCGCTTATATCATGTAATCGGTGCTCCCAAAATACGAAAAAAATTATACGCTCTATTTGTTTTGATGGCATTTTTAAGCAACAGCTTTCGCAATGAATTTGATTGCAGAGAATGAAATCAAGGCTCCTGAGTCGCCTATCGCTAGGCGGAGGAGCCTTGCCAATCCAGTATAAGCAGCCGACCCTCGATTATTACAATCATATTTGTTTTAGAACACTAATATGTGTATTTCTAGAGCGCACTGGGATATGGCGGATTTGCGGCGACGTTGATGACTTTGTCATTGTCTGGCATGGGCTTTCGCAGTATATCAAACCAATCCGTCTTTGTAGCAAACCTCTGTTTTCTCGCTGGAGTTGGACTCTTGGTCTCCGCGCAATGGGAAATGGTCAGGGGCAATACATTCGACTACACAGTCTTAGGAGCCTTTGGTATGTCAATTCTACCAAAGTCTTCGTGGCCTAAGAAGTCTAACATCTTCGGAAGCCCTGTATTATGGCGGCTATGGGGTGTTACTACTGCCTTCATCGGGCGTTCTTGAGTCTTATCAAGGCCAAACAGCCGATTATCATAATGCATTTGGGATTTACCTGCTCGGTAAGTGATGTCCTTTCCCCAGAAGCGCATTTGTTGACAATGTGCAGTTTGGAGCATACTGAATTTGTTTTTCTTCATTGCTTCTTTGCCAACGTAAGAATTCACTCAAAATACCCGCGCAGAATACTACTAAATTAGATATAGTGGCGCACCTAATATTGTTGTGTATGGTGCCTTGGAGCTATCATATATTTTCAACTGCATAGGCCACTTTGTCAGAGCCGATGGTAACATCTTAACCAGTACAAAGCTCATGAAAGTAGGAGGCGCGTTCGGTTTTGTCTCGTCTCTGGCGGGCTTTTATATGCTTGGTCATGAGCTATGTCGAGACGTTTTACCTTTTGGTTTTCCGGTGTATAGCACATCTCGTCTCGCTAATAAATCGAGTGAGCATAGTAATTAAAGAGGCCGGAATATGTATGATATCTAGAACATCACAACTTTTGAGTCTAATCTATTAACACTGCTAGATCCTGCATGGCATGAATGTACAATGGGAAGCCCGGCTTGAATACAAAATCGTAGTGCAGCGCCAAACATGATAACAATACTGCCTATGACCAAACGGTATTCTTCAAGTGGCCATTTTACGCCTTGCATTGGAGGCTGGCAACAGACATTGGAGTCTCCTGGGATGCCAGTTCGGATGGCTTGGCTTTAATGAGCGAGTAAGAGTAAGTATCCGTCTCATGTCGTATGATCTTCCACCTTTTCTGCCCCACCTAAAATGACTCCCAAAATAGGAAAGGCGTACGTCAGCCACACTTCGGCCAACTCAACATATTGATCTGGAGACAAATGGCACGCGTTCGAGTCAGACCGCCTAGCTTCCGAACTATACCGACAAGACTTTGCTTATACAAGGACTATAAGTTTGGAGTTTACTGTAGGAGGGATCGATGGGTTCTTCTATTTTACAGCAAGGAAGTGTATGAAAACATTTATTATCAAGTTATAATCGAAGACATAAGGAGTACCCTAGACAAGATATGCATACCATAATGTTATGAAGTAGCTTCAATTCCTTGATAGCCAGATACATTCTCTCGAGATTTAGCAAAGGAGTTGACAATTCCAGTTATTGTATACAGCGCCACCACTGCGAATTCGGTAGCCAGCCCAAGCGCAAGGTTATAACGCCAGCTACCGAGGACGGGGTTAAATTTCACAGTATGTCCATGGGAGGAGCTTGTATCCAGATTAATCGCATTCAACGCCGAGTAGGCAATTCGTACCAGTAAAAAAGGCAAAGCCATTGTTACTGATAGAACAAGCTAACACCAACCGCGAGTCAGTCTCCATGTAACAATACGAATTGGCAATTCAAAATTACCCTCTTTGCAGCACTTTGCACATAATGAATGTTCTTTATGTAGATTAGACACGCAATAGCCACTAGAACCCACACAACAGCAAACACAACTGATGCTAATTGAAGCTCTCGTGCGCCGGCATCTAAACTGTCTTGTGCGGTTTTTGTCCGGCTAATGCCGCCAGTAATGCTGAGTATGAGACCGGCGATGATGAGCAAATGGACAAATTTCAAAGCCTTAGTAACATGACGTGCAAACGAATGGGCCTTATCCAGCCTGCGCTCTAGTTAGTTTCCCTAGGCTCGGTTCTGTTGCTGAGACAAAACATACCCAACATTCAAAAAGCACAGCGAAGCATTTAGTAGAGGAGATAATGCAACTGTGTTTAAAATGGTGGCTGTTGTAATCATGCTTGTATTCTTCCCGTTTTCGATCTGGAGTGTCATAACCGAACCGGCAATCTTGACTTTTTTGGAGTTTCAGAATTGGAAAGTAGCGCTAAGACCAGGAATGTGCAAAAGAGGACCTACTGATGCTGAAAATTGTGAGATAGATCCAGCCAGCGTCTCTTCTGAATCCATGTCGGATATTGTTATATATGCAGAAGAGGCCGATCGGAACGTAAATAATAACTTCAACAAGCGCAAGCTTGCCATGGCTGTCGAGAGTCATATTGGGAAAGTTGAAGCAAGATGTTTGAATTGGTAATGACGGTCAAAAAGAGATATATGGTGCGTGTCTGAAAGCTCAGAAAGTGTCTTTGATTGCAGAAGTTATATGATGGTCAAGTTGAACCCCCCTGAAAACCACGATCGCTTAATCTACCAAATGTAGCTAAGACTCGGTACCAGAAGGATCAAACATCCCAGTGGAGTCTCGTTGTTTTATTGTTTGCCAGGCTACATCGCTGAATACTCTTCTTCTGGAAATATTAGAAAGAAACGCCCCTATTCGCTCAAAACCGGGTCTTTGTGACAACTACATGCACTAACCAAAAGGCGGATATTCATGCGAAGAAACTACTCGCAGATGGATCTGAAAGTGGTAGCCTCTTGCTGCAGTTCCAGCGAAAAGCTGCTCTACTTTGTATTCATAAATAATGAGTCCAGAAACTATTATGTGGCAACTGATCTTCGTTAAGTGTACTGAAGGTCTTTAGATAGCCATATTCTTTCAGCTATACCCAAGCCCTTCGTTGAATCTGACAGCATTAAATCCACAACAATCTGCAATGTGAGATATAATTTTATACAACCATCGTGCTTCCCGAGACTCGGGGTTTGCGTTGCGATACGCGACTTGCAAGGGAAACATAATCTGAATGGCACCGGTGTTTCCTGGGTAACTGAGAAGCTGAAAATATACCAGCTTGCAAAATTCTCCAATAATATCCTCCACTGACCCATCTCCAGGTGTCAAGAGAACTGACGGATGTGGCCAGGGATATGAATTCCCGTAGGATGCCACCGTAGGCCTTATTGAATCTGGAAGTTGCCGACAAGCTTGATGTAGAAGCAGTAGCATTGCGTTGTATATGCAGATTTCGGCGACTCGAAGGTGCTCAGTGAAGAAAATTGCGGTTGGAAAAGGGTAGGAGTCAAGTTCGAAAACGTTCAAGTCTTTGAGACTACCCAGTCCGACATTAAAATATGTGTGTGAGAAATTTTGCTCCCACTTCACGCGCCAGTCGTAGAGCTTTTCGAAAAGCGCCTTGATTTGAAAGCAAAGAATGATGTCGGATATTTTAGCTTCTTGCACAACAGCTGCGTGCTGTAAGGGTACTTGGAGATCCTCCATAACACCAGGCAAGTGGCAAAATATGTCGTTCAGGCAATCCATTGATGTCTTGGAATTTGGGTTATCTGCCCACGGCACTGTTTTCCATGCATCTTCTTCCAAAAAACAGCGTTGCCGCCGAATTAAATAGGCAAGAATCTCATATGTGTCAGTTGCAATGAAGACTGGATAAAGTGTACTTTTCACCTACAATAGACGGACGTGTTGTAAGGAAAAGCTCTTTGCCTGGGCCATCTCGATGAGCCTGGGGCCCTCTAAATTTGATCTTCGGAACAAAGAATTAGTCAGTTCATTTTTAAGAGGTATAAAAAAGCAACAGCTTACAAGGTGTCCCACTCCAAGGAAATGACTTAGCCATCCATTCATGTCTTTGGAAGTGATCATCTCGAACAGGGCTAATAACAAGGTAGCCGAAAGCGTATCTGTTTTCAGAACCTGTTCTGAGTCAAAGAGTTCCTTCTGAAGCTGACGCAGCGCTTGAGTGTATAACACTGTGCCCCTTTCAGCTGCAGAACATTGACGATGTATCTTTCCGAAATATGCGGCAGCACAAGCTCGAACTGCAAGTTGTGGGGCTTGGTTTTTGCTACTGGGGAGAATAGAGCTCAACAGCCAGAGAGATAAGCTGGGGCTAGGGACCGTATTGCTCCCTTGAAAAGGTATAAAAAGGCTCATGATGAGGTGATTTGTAAAGATGTTGTCTTCATCGAGACTAGGTGCTGGAAGCAGGGATACTTCCTTTCTATCCCCCTCTGTAGCGTTGTCCGCCTTGATCTCATTAAGGGAAAGACCATCAATAAAGACGGGGAAGGGGTTGAAGCCTTGGCACTGAAGTTGAAGACGTGCACAGCGGAAACAAATGGGCCGATTTTGATCTGCTCAATTAGTGTTGGAAGAAAAACGGGCTGATAACAAGCCCCTAATCTGATGTTATCACCGCTTACCGCATTTCACACGAGCACGGCGGCACGTTTTACAGCCGCGGCTCCTTCCACCGATGCCGACCATTATGTAGTAGCTTGCCTGCAGCAAAAGAGAGAATGCTTACTGAATTGGTGGTGCAGAGGACAGTTTTGGCTTAGAGTGATATAAGAAAGCTGACAACCCCTGAATGAGATGCTCTGATGTCTTGAAAGAGATTCGGAAATACCCAATGTTACTGAGGTTGTTGCCAGAGCCAGTAAAAGCGACACTAAGGATTTCGCCCATCGCGCAATGAGCCTGATTGGGACTAGTGCCTGATGCTGACGTTGGCTCAAGTGGCTGAACATGACTCAAGTTGTCAACTGGCGGAGTGTGCCTTGTCTCGATCCAACTAGGCGCATTACATACGCATCTATCATATGTCACAGACGAATTCAAGGTCAAGGGTTGCAAGTCGCAGAATGCCCTTTTTTCAGTTAGACGGATCTTGTTTGATTGGATCATGCTTAATAAATCTAATGTGCGAATGCCGTGGATTTCGATGTATGTTTACGATTTAAATATCATTGCGCTGTGTCAGAGAACTAGGAATGCTTCTGGAGTTTGTTCAACTTGTCTCTGTGAACTAAAGTCTCTTTACAACATCGTTACTACTCTGAATATGGATGATTTGAAGAACCAACAAAGTGCACATCAAGTTGAGCATTTCCATGGATACGAAAATGTTCCAAATCAATCACCGCCGACATATCGTCCATATGACGGATACGACGGCAATTATAATCCCCATGCTCAACTTAGTGTACATCAGTCCGATGATTATAGACAATATTCGGCTCCATCTACGAATCCACGCCATCATGCTGCCTTCGCGCCACAACAGGGACCGGCCATGGCAAGCGCTCATACACCAACTAATCCATTGCGATATCCGTCTGCCGATACTTCTCTTCAATTCCAAAGGCCTCAATCAAATGACGACCAGTACTACCAGCCAGACCTCTACCTTCATCCCGATAATGCATCAACTCTCAATCAACCGCTCCAATGGCATCAGGCAAATCTTGCCCTCTCTGCGAAAAGTCATCAGAAAGTTTTACCCGTTGCAATACCCCAAATGACTAAAGGAAGAGGCATGCCTTTCATGAGACTCAATGCGCCAGTATTGCAAGAATACGGAATATCGGAACCAGAGTTTATTGAATTCATAGACACGCTCAATATTGTGTCAGCTGCTTCCCCACCACTCAAGATTTTGGATCTTGCCGGGGGCATAATTGGAATGGTGCCAAATCATTGGGCTCAGCTCACTTCTAATATCCTCCAGCTAACTGCCAAGGGTGGAACTGCAATTGTCAGCAAAAGCCGCACTGACGCCTTTATGAAAGAGGCAAACCAACGGACTTTTGGACCAAAAGGGTTGAAAGCCTGTTTGATCACCACATCTGCGTTAATCCCCTCTATCAAGTTTCCAGCACAAAAGGCCATTACTCTGCCCTTGGCACTTGATATCCCCTTGGAAAATCAGCCAAATTTCCACAGCCGTCTTTTACAAGGCCTGAAAGGTTATGTGAGCGAGACCGAAGCCACTCGTCTTCCATCCAAAAAAGAAGACATGGGCTTCATTGACCAGATGAGTGCAAAGCAAGTTGTTCGAGACATACAGAAGATCGACAAAAAGATATACAAGGATACAGAGAAGCAAATGAAGAAGATGCACAAAAATTACGAACCGTGGAAGTCATCTTTGGAAGATGGAACTTCAGGCGACACCGTCTCAAAGCCGCCTGTCCGCAGCAGGAGTCTCGATCGCAAAATGAGAAAAGTTGAGCATGACATGGAAAAGGTCAATAGGAAAGCCGCTAGAAAGATGGAAAAGCGGCATTCTCCTGGCCGGGTGGAAGATAAAAGACAAGATGCATTGTTATCATTGGAAAGTAAGAGGGAAAGGCTTTTGGAGAAAGAAGATAAGCAAAGCCAGAACTTGTCTCCTAAAAGGCATGGAAAAGATGAAAAAGGGGCTGATGAGAAGATGGCTGAGAAACTCCTATGGATTTACATTGACACCGCCTTTGATGAGTCTGTGGCAGTCAATGCAAATTGACATATTAGCGTTCTTTTCAATGATAGTGAGATTGTAGATCGTTATTCTACATGTTCAACTGCTGCTAAATTTCATTCGTCTCCTCACCTTCGTATTGCTATAATTCCACTATAATCTTTTCCCACAAAAAGGTGATACATTTTCGTAGGCTCCTTTCCTTTCACCTCGATACTCTACTTGGCGCTTTTGAAGTTTTCTTCTTGAAAGCAGCCAAAGCTAGGAAACTGATGGTCCGTAGTTTCTCTTTCATTTCTTCAAGGTATCACAGACATAATTCATTACTAGTTTTTCAACTGTACTTCCCAATATCTACCCATTATTGAAGTTTGTTTTCCTTGGCATTGACATAGTCTGAGAGGACGTGTGGATCGACAATACTTCGCCTCCACCAGCACAGCCCGTGAAACCCCAAAAGAGTAGATTTTACGACCCGATAGCTAGTACGTCAGACTGAGGCTTAGCAGCTAACGAATGACATCGTCGCAGGATAGCGGGTTAAATTATGGTGTTACCAGGGTTGTCAATAACGTAGCTAGGTAATCGATATTAAGATATATAAAGACCTAAATGTATTGTATCTCGATCACATTAACCTCCAACATATAGTTATTCTCTTACACACTTCCTCTCAATCCATTCTGAACTGCGCTTTGCCTATACCATTCTTTTGGAAATTATGATTTTGCTTAACGCATTCTTTCTAAGTGCATTTCTGCACTCAACGGCCTATTCAGCAGCTATATCTTCTCATGACAAGTCCAGTGCTCAGAAACTGGCAGATCCAAACTATGGTCCGATACCTGGACAAAGCTCCCTATACAGCTCGTATAGGGGCAAGGCTCCTCCTTTCCCAGGCAATATCACCGATCCCATTGCACCCACTGCTAAAGGCCCTCCTGGAACCGACGACCTCGTTTGGCAAAACCTGCTCTCTGCTGAATGGGTCATCTTTTCGTTCTATCAGCAGGCGGTAGAGATGTTTAACGAGACGGCCTTTGCTGAAGCTGGCTATCCCAACACGACATATGATCGCATCCAAGAGATCCGCGACAATGAAGCTGGCCATCTGCGCATATTCCAGAACGAAATTACACCCACTTCTGTCAAGCCTGGGGCTTGCAAGTATGCGTTTCCGTTTGACAATCCTACATCCTTTCTAGCGCTTGCAACCCTGATTGAGATTTCGAGCATGACATTCCTCACGGGACTTGTGCAAATGGCTAAACTGCCTGCATCCCAGGGTGCCATGACGGCTATTGCTGCTACGGAGACGCGTCACGAAACATGGGCTCTTCTTGACATCTGGAAAACAAATCCCTTTGGAGGCCCTTCTGACACCGTCTTCCCTTACGCCAACCAGATTCTTGATGTGACCAATGTGTTTATTGTTCCCAAGAGCTGCCCGTCGGAGAACCCGGTTTATCCATCACCGAGACAGAACTTGCCTCCTTTTTCCCCAGCCCGTTCGACCAAGTCGATAACCCCAGGTAGCAACATCGCGCTGAACTTTACCGACCCGACCAATCAACCTAGCTTCCGTAAGGGCGTACAATACTATGCAACCTTTTTCCACGGTCCCTCCAACATTAGCGTGCCAATCGACACAACAAACTGGCCTCGCGAAGATATTAAAGTCAGAATTCCTCCTCATTTTGAAGCACGAGGCATCATTCTTGCGGTAATCGCCGATACCGTTGGTGCTCCAATTTTGGCGACCGTTAAGGCTGGACCGGTTGTGCTTTTGGAACAACCAGCTGAGCTTGGATTATTGGTATCATAGAAGACCTTTGTTCTCCGAATTTTCAGGGCATAATCTCTTTAGAAAGGATTGATTCTATAAAGATATGACAAATAGATAGCACTACTTTCTAAGTAACTTCTTTAACTCTCTCCTTTATATAAGAAGTTTTTATTTCCAATGCCTCGTGCTAGCTTTAGACATTGTCGCCGCAGCGCAGAACTTGAGAATGAAGAAATTACTTGAATGCAAAAGTTTCCTAGTACACAGTGGACTCAGCGTGGAGAGTTTGGTAAAACACAAGATATTTTGCAACCGAAATGTAAGCCAAGTGGTATCCCTTGCTGTAGGGGATCCGAAACTACGAAAAGTAACGGCGGGACATTGGAGTTCAAATCCTGGGTCGCAATTTGTGCCGAACGGAGTTACACAATTGTACATGCAGTTAAACTTGGTCTGGCGCGCAATTTCAACGAGTCATCATTCACGGCTAATACCGTTTGCTCCACCATGGAGCTACGGCGGTGCGGCCGCATCACCGCAAGAATAGCCCACCAAGTTAGAAGATACATAAGTAAACTAGAAAATTCCAAAGATCTCCAAGTCCCTTTCTATCGCAGTTACTATATCAACATCCTGCACTTGTCCTCCATGGCTAGTCCTCTACGGCCTCTCCAGACCTGCCTGTATTGCCGCAAGCAAAAGCGGAGATGCGATAAGCAAGTACCGCATTGCGGAACCTGTCGCCGGGCAGGGCGGGAATGTGAATACATCGTCGATAGAAACGAGGAGCTTGTTCGCCTGCGAACCCGAGTAGCCCATCTTGAGGCGACACTGAGAAGAGATGTATCTTCTAACTCAAGCGGCTCTCCCAGCACTCCTGGCTCCCTGGACACGTCGCGGCCTGCCATGCAGCCTTCAGATATTCTCGCCTTTACGCAGGAGACCCAAGCACTGTCGTTTTCCGAGCAGGTACCTTCACCCCTGCTTCCTATTTCCTATTTTCTCGATACTGCTGTGGACTGCAGACTATTGGATGTTCGTACATTCCCTTTCACGACTATACCGCAGGAGCTGCTTTGTCTGATAGAATCTCCATCGGCAATACGTGAAATCGCTGACAGCTACTTTGACACAATCCACTCATGGCTACCATTTGTTTGGCAAAGAAAGATTGGCCAATTCATTGCTCTTGTTGACATGCACCCAGACCCTGGAATGGCCGCACTTTTGGCGGCTATGAAGATGATTACGAGTGCTGCTGGCAGCCCATCTGGAAATCGGCTGTACAGAATCGTCAAAGGATACCTGACGGTGTTGGAAGACAGTGGATTCCTGACCCTAGGTGTGCTACAAGCGGCCATTTTAATCGCCCTCTACGAAGTTGGCCATGGCATTTATCCCGCGGCTTACATGTCAATTGGACGCTGTGCAAGAGTAGGCCAAATGATGGGGTTGCATGGCAATAGTTCCACATCCAAGTCATTTAAACTGCCAACATCTTGGGCGGAGGCTGAAGAAATCAGGCGGACTTGGTTCGCGGTACTTGTTCTCGACAGGTAACATGTTTCTGGCTTGAAACCGACGAAGAAATTCGTCTCCATGCTACGGCATCAATGCTAATAAATCCTGGGACAGGTATATCAACGTTGGCTTCGAGGGCCGACCCCTCTCTTCGGGAGAGTTTGCCGACGATGAGATGCTTCCATGCGACACAAAGAGCTGGGACCAGGGTGAACCAACTCCCAGTCAGCCTCTTTTTGTCCACGGCGTAACCGCATTGTCAGGCGATCCATTTTCACGAACTTGCCAAGTCGCTCACTTGCTTGGGCGTATTATCGAGCACCGAGATGATTCTAGACTGCTTGGGCCTCTTCGATACACAACAGCCGCGCAGCTACTGAAAACGCTGAACAGTCTATTGCACCTCTTGGACTCAGAATTCAGTCTAGATAGCGTCACCTTCAGCCTTGCCTATGCTATAGCCTTTAGCGCAAAGGTCGCCTTGTTGAACATGTATTCATGCACCGAAACTAATCGACATGTGGGCTGTGTGGAAGAAACCGAGATGCAGGCGTTGGCACTTGGTGAATTTCGCAAAATGCCAGCCGAAATAATGCGCTTTGGCGACATGTTGCAACTCACGGAACCAAGTAATAGCGATAATTTGAGCCCCCTAATATGCGATTGCCTATACCAAGCAGCAGTCACGTCCATTTGGTATTTTAAAGAAAGTGGCAATGAAGAAATGGCTGGAAATCTAGAGACATTACAGTCTTATCTGCGCTCTATGCAGACGAGGTGGAACATTGCGAGTGAGCATCTCCTGACATCTGAGGGTCATAGTCCCACGTGCTAATTTGTTCTAGATGAATATTTGATATTGGTAGAAAAGCAACGTTGACGAATATATACTGCCCCCGGAAGATACTAGGCATCAGTTGCTAGACCTGAATGGCGGATGCGGCCGCATGCCCGCACCATCCATCCCGAGCCCCGCCTGTCATCGGAGATAGTACCGAATGTTAAGACCCTAGAGATCGTTGATGAATCAACCTTTAATTGATTCAACGTCATGTCACCAAAAAGCAATTCGGAGATAAGATTCTATTTGTCATTCAGCATTCAGCATACAGAATGAAGAACATAAAAGGGCGCCATCACCACCTTTCACATTCACATCCGCAGCCACAACTACAACCAGAAAATTGTCAACCACTCCCGAAATCGCTTCCCATCGCCCTAAAACCACATTGCTAGCCGAGATAAACATGAGCTCAACAGGAAAACTGATCTTAGTCACCGGTGTGAATGGCTTCATTGCCGCACATGCTGTTATTGCGCTGCTGGATGGCGGTTACCAGGTCCGAGGAACTGTCCGATCCGAGAAGTCAGCCGAGATAGTTCGGAAAACTTACTCTGCCTACGCGGATAAGTTTTCTGTGGCGGTCGTTCCTGATATGAGCGTTAAAAATGCCTTTGACGAGGCTGTCAAAGATATTCATGGAGTAGGTATTTCCAAGAGGCATGTATCAGACAAGATATATACTGACAGCGTTGGATCAGGCTCTGCATATTGCCAGCCCATTTATGCTCAACATCAAGGACAATGAGTCAGAGGTGTTGATTCCGGCTATTGAAGGAACCAAGAACTTGCTGGCATCCGTTGCTGCACATGCCCCCCAAGCCAAGCGTGTTGTTATCACCTCGTCTTTTGCCGCCATGGCCGACTTCTCGAAGGGCTTCTGGCCAGGCCACACATACAACGAAGCTGATTGGAATGAGGTGACTTACGATTACGCCAAGACTGCTGATGCGGTGGTGTGTTACTGCGCTTCCAAGGCGTTGGCTGAGAAGGCTGCTTGGAAGTTCATCAACGAACAAAAGCCTCACTTTGACTTGACCGTCTTAAACCCACCCATGGTCTTTGGTCCCGCGGCTCACGTCGTATCCTTGTCAGCAATGAATACCAGCGCTTGGGATATTCACCGTTTCCTATCTGGCGAGCTCGAGGATGTGCCTGATACGGGTTTTTGGGGATTCGTCGATGTGCGAGACCTTGCCGTTGCTCATGTTCGCGCGTTGGAAGTTCCCGAAGCTGGAAATGAGCGTTTCTTTATCGTCAGTGGACGCTACAGCTACCAGAAAACGGCCGACGTTTTGCGTGCGTCCCCCCTTATTGCCGAGGCCGACAAGAAGTTGGTGCCCGTTGGCAAGCCGGGGCAAAACTACCCCGGAGCAGATATATATGAGGTGGATAACTCAAAGTCAAAGAAGATTCTTGGCTTAAAGTATCGCTCGTTTGAGGAGTCTATTGTTGATGCAGCGCTCAACATGATTGATGTGCGTAATAAGGCCGCTTAAGCGAAAGCGGGCCACTGCTACGCCTCTTGTAAATTCGGATAACTTGAGTCTAAATAGCTACTATTAAATCTCATCTATATTAAATGATGATTTGAAATTTTCCCAGCTGAATTATATCTCATCTTGTGCAACATGTGCATTTAACAACGTGGCTTATGTTGAGTACTATGCACTTCTGAAGCCAGCAGTGCCAGTTGAGATAGGAGTGTTCATCTATATTGACACCATCAAGACTCAGAAGGCTGTTTACAAGATCTTGTGTACTGTGTTTTGAGATGAAAGCTGTTATAGTCAACCGTAATCAGTCGTCCATAACGATTTCTGTCTCAAAACAATTTTTTTTTGTCATCACATTAGATTCGAAGACGGCTACAGTGTTTAAGCAGTTCCCATTAACTAATTGCTATAAGCAATGTTCGTTCAAGGATATCATAATTTCACACAGCAAAACGAGATATAAGAGTGAAACAGTGTAGAGACAACAAATCAAGCCATTTCCAATCCATTACGCCAAAACCATTAACTGAAAAGCCATTTGAAAGAACGTTTTGCTACCCATTGGTCTGACTTTGAACGCTGAAAGTTAGACCAGCGGATAATTAATCTTATACTTGTAAATTGCTGTAATTCTTTCTTTTCCAGAAATTCATATTGTGCGATTACAAATCGGCAGCTGGCTGGACCACGATACGGTGATTCGGCCGCATAACCGCCCCTTTAGATGCCAGTGGCTAACGCACGACGTTTTCCACCACACCCGGTAACACTCCCGTACCTTAACTCCGGAAGGATTGTGATTATCTCGCCGCTTTTTTGCGGAACAGCACCCGCTGACGTCGGTTAACGTCCCGGCATGTGAAGAAGGTCTGGCCTTCAAAAGAAGATCCACAACTCAACCATGTATGCGGGATTCAGGAGACCGTCGAATAGATTTGTAAGTATGAGAACTCCCCAACATTGATGGACGTGTATAAATAGCCAGGCTCGCAGAGTCACTTGAAAGTGATTATTTTATAATATACTTCAAGAGTCAAGTACATAGTATATCGTCATTCATCTCACCATGAGGTTTATCAACCTCATTTTGGCTGCTTCTCTGCCCCTGATCTCTGCTTTGGAGTCGCGAATCTTCAGCTCCTACGACGGAACTACATACGTTTACGACTACGTGCCTGCTCGCGGAGATAATTCAACATTCCTTCTACTCCATGGGTTTCCTTCGACTCGTAAAGAATGGCGATCACACATCTCAAAACTCACCGATGAGGGTCATGGTGTCATTGTTCCTGATCTCCTCGGTTACGGAGATAGCGATATGCCACTTGAGCTAGAGGCTTACAATTTGAAAACTATCTCTGGACATTTCGCCGAGCTGGTTAAGCATGAGAACATTGATAAAAGTGATTGGCGTTGGCCATGACTGGGGTAGCTTGGTCTTGTCTCGCGCTCTTGTCTGGCATCCTGAGACATTCGAAAAAGCAGTGTTCCTATCTCTAGGCTACAATGCGCCCGGCATTAACTTTGACGTTGACGGTTTTAATGTTCAGGGCTTAAAGCAGCTTGGTTATATGCCATTTGGATACTGGTACTTCTTCAACTCTTTCGATGCGGCTTCTGTGCTTACTCAGAATGTGAGTTATGTCAAGTTTGACAGCGGCAGTCATTGTGTTGCGTCACATTTGCCCCATCATGAATGCTAACGCTTGATTTCTTTAGCTCGATTCCTTTTTTCATCTTGCCTTCCATAATAACGCCTCCGACTTGCCGCAAACCTTCTGTGCTCTTGGTGCTGTGCGGGCCTGGGTCACCGCCAACACCACCACGCCCGATCCCGAGTGGCTCGAGCCAGGTTTCAAGCCCCTGTGGATCTCACTATTTAGCAAGCGCGATGCAATGCAAGCGGCACTTAACTATTATCAATCCTTCTTGAGAGGATACTCTGCCGTGGATGAAGCGAGGCTTACGGATGAGAATCGAAAGATCAAAGTGCCAGTTATGGCCACTGGAGGCACCAAAGATCCCGTCACAAGATTTGACCAACTAAAGTCTGAGACTGAGCCTTGGACCACAAAGGGTTATACACAGCATGCTGTGGAAGCCGACCACTGGGTTATACTGGAAGCAGGAGATGTTGTGATGGACCATCTGAAGAATTTCGCACGGCAGTAAGCAGTTTATGCCTGTTATGTAGGGCAACAACTAAGCATCTGGTTCAACAATAACTCAAAAAAGCGATATCGGCCCTGTATATATATAAGCACAGAAATATCATCGGTTGCATTAAATTTTAGAATAGACAGCGCATACATATATCAATTTATATATTATTATGATAGTTGTAGACTCCAAATGTTCGCAAGTGAAAGGCTTACACATTGGTTCGGGATTTCGACCAACTACAAAATCTCGCCCTTCCAAGCCTTCACAAGCTCATCAATCTGCTCCGTCATATCCACCATCAAAAACTCATGCTTTGGTTTGACAGACCTCGTAGGCTGGAAGAATTCAGTCAAAGAATAGATCGTTTGCCCAACCTCAAAGCTGCCAGTTGTATATCCACCTTGCTTGCTGAGATTGCCATCCATAAGGACCAAGCCAAGATATTCAACCGTCTTCCAGTTATTTCTACTTCCAACGACACGGGTCCCATAGAAATCGTCAGACCAGAGGATGACTTTACCGCCGTATCTTGCTGGCAAAAGCAATCCGTCCCCTCCGCCCGTATAATTAGTCGGGAATCCCTCCGGATGCACATAGACCGGAAATCCCTTGGATTTGTTGATATCAAAAGTCAACAACCCCGGAGCGACTCGATCATTGATGACAATCTTGTCCCCTGATCGAACAATGCCGCCTGAATGAAGTGTGTCGTTGATGCTTTTTGGTTGGTACCAGATGTTCGGCGTACCGCTCCTGTTGATTTTGATAATGATAGAGCCAAATGATCCTATTACGTAGGTATTCCCTTGATCATCTTCTGCCATATCTTGAAAACCTGTAATCAGCTTTCCCGTTTGCTGGAACACTTGCTTTTGTAGCGGCACCAGATCTGTTATCCACAGAATTGTACGGGACTTGGTATCATATCGAATGATGCTGTTGGGGCCGGTAAAATTCGCCAGTGCTGGGTTTCCAGATGTTGTTGCCACAAAGGCCGTATATGAAGTTGCTGCGAAGTACATCGATCCCATTCCATCGTAGTCAATACCAGTAATGGTGTAGTCGTCATTGCCGGTGATTCCAGGGAAGACGATTGACTCATATTCATCACGATATGGATCATAAACCGCAACCGAAGAATTGTAGTAGAGGCTTTCATTCGTCAGAACTGAGGTTAGAGATAGATAAAAGGGATAAAAGCATAGCGTACCCAAAGTATACTTTGCAGTGCACCGGATCCCAATCCGCGCTCTCTGGATAGAGGTCTGGCACAGATGCATTAAAGGAACCCTGGAAAGGAGGACATGAGCCCAATACTGCACTCATAAGATATGCCCAGATGAAAGGGCGTAAACTTGAAGTATACATGATGAAGCACTGTCTGAATATGCCAGCTGAGAAATCGATGTCTGTTTCCGAGGGATCAATTGATAACGCTACAATGCGAGTGATTGATGATGGCAAGATCCTGCTCTTATACATCTATTACTCTATATTTATATAAATAAAAAAAAAAATTCATCGTCACGCATGTATACCGAGGTGAAGCCTAGAATGGGTTGAGCTGATGACTTTACTACCACGGATATTCAATTCTTATCTCCGAGCAGTCTACCAAGCTTATGCAATTCCCAATAATCATGCGTCAGCGACTTCATTGCGCATCGTATACACTTCAGTTTCCTTCTCTTCTCCTCTTTTATCCATTCATCAGTGTCAATTGCAGCCCTATGCTTTACGCCTTCCCTATTTCGAGGCTATCATCCACCAGTCCTTGTGCCGCTTACAAAACGCAGCGAGAAGCTGTAAAGAGGCATTGGTCATGCTTATTCATTCTAAGCTTTCTTTTAGAATACTCTCTCCTTACTTGCAATCCAAGCTTGAAATTGCCCGCCTATTTTCTGTAGGTTCGGTATTCCGAACAAGTCCGTGGATTGAGGATGGTAAAGGCACGATTATGGATTAGAAGACTGCTAAGAGGCTAATGATGAATCATCGGAGTCTAGATACAGAACAAAACCCGTCGCATCTAAATCGGCTCGATGGGGACTCTTTTGATGTGATGCATGCGATACCAGAAGGCATCTTCATCGGAGAATGTCTGGGAATACCCTATATCTCCTTTCTATGGCGACCGTTTATTGTGACGTGAGCTGTTCTAGATAGTCAATGCGATATGTAGCGCTTATAATTATTAGCATGCGAGCAACACAATCATGGATATGAATATGGCATGACATTGACGATTTCTTTTTTACTCTATGGTATTGAGAGCCCGTAATAAGCTCAGTGGGCGTAACGTTTCGATGCCATATGCATCTATTAGCTGAGTTGGGTGCTGCAATTCCCAAGACGGAATCCTTGACCTTCAGCTCATGCGGAGCGAGTTGCGGAGTGGGTCGCTATGCCTGTGTCGACTTTTCCGCCATTTGCAACTCCACTGAGAGACGGTCTAAGCTTATAGATTGACCATCGTAACGCGTCCAGCGCTTGTAGAATAAATTTACTTCTAACTGCCATTTCTATAGCTGTACATCGCTACATTGAGCAGCTCACTTTGAAGAGTGTGAACACCAGACAACCTCCGAATCGCTGCAAAGTCACTTCAAGATGTAGGTACAACAAGCAGCCGCAGCTGGCTGCACTTTCTCCACATATGGGCCCTTCCATCTACTCTATAATATACGATAACATCTTAGAGCCAGGCCCTATCATATGTTATCATGATTCAATCTCAGTACTATCCTAAGCAGCCTACTGAGCAGCTGCAGGGCCCATTCGCCCTTTGTAAATGGAGTCTTTAGTGTTCAATACGACCGTACTGTTACATTTCATCTCAGTATAGGTGCTGGGCCTCATTTACGACAATTAAGTTGGTGGATATGCAGCGACGTCTAAGCGCGACGATCCATATTGCGTCACCAATCCATCAGCAATGAATGGATCAACATGACTCTGCGACCAATGAATGAGAGGGTCAATTTTTTTTTTTCCCGCATGCAGTAGCGGATATGATGATACTGTCAAGTGGTTCTTGAACAAGCTTCTCTTTGGGGCTGCTTCAAGCTTCTTGTTCTCATGATTTCACTTTCTGAGGCTTAAAAATAGAATACATCAGAACAGAGCATCAAAATTAGGTAAAAGAAGGAATGGTTTCATTAAAGGAGTGATAGATAGAAGTTTAAAGTGTGAAAGCTTCACAAAAAGCCCCCGCCCCAATTCAAGATAAAATCCCGTCCAAAGAAATAATGCAAGTTAATAACCCCATGCCGTAAATGCTTCTCGTATCTAAAATATATGCAAGAATCTAGAATGCCCAACACCTCGGATGCCAAAAGCGAACTCTCATTCAAGGAGTCGCGACCATCTTTTGCTCTGCGCTGTTTCGGTCCACGGCTCCATATGCAACAAGAGAAGGCCCTGATCGTCGTCTCTGCAAAAACTCCAAGAAGGCCAAAACAGTAGTCGTAAGCTGAATCAAGAACATCGGAATCAAGTTGTACTGCCATCCGCGCATGACTCGCAGGTGGTTTGCAATGTCCTTCCTCTGGCTTTCGTTTGCCAGGTCCAGCTTGAGCACTGCAGGGAACCAGTTCTGAGGTGTCCACGTATCGAGGGCATATTTGTGGTTGCCAGTTGTCGAGGCGACTTTGACGTCAATCGTCTGCCCCTTGTGCGAGTTTGTAACGGCGAAGACGTAAGCGAGGGCGGCGAGAGTGAGAGTCAGGCCGAGAACGAGAATGGTAAGCCATAGACCGTAGATGAAGGACGTGAATTTCTGGCCGAGGATGTGAGGGCGGTTTCTGAGAAAAAGAGTGACGATGCCTCCGAAGCCAATCAGGATAATTGCTGTTCCCGCGGCGCCGTTGCTGGTGTGGCCTTGGTCGACTAAGAAATGTTTCGGTTCGCCGTAGAGTTCGAAAGTCGAGCCGTCAAAGTTGACCGTGAAAGTACCACTGGCGGTTTGATGAAGCCAAGCCACCATGCTGGTAATGAAAGACAGCTCGAGGATGCCATCGATCATCAGCGCGCCCAGGGCGATAGCAAGAGGTAGAGAAAGCGTCATTTTGATCCAAAAGAATGCTCACAAATACCGATTTGCTACAATCCGGCTAGCTTTTTACTTGTGAAGGAAGAAAAACCTTAAGACAGCCCGACTAAAATTGAAGAGCTCGCTTGCGTCTCTTATACTATATAAGACTTGGGCTCACGTAGTACATCCTGGCTCCTTTTTGCCATATTAGTGCTGACCAGGTGGAATCGGTGGCTGAGGTACCAGCCAACAGCACACCTGCCCTGCTGACAAGCGTCCGCAAGGCTTTGAGAAAACATCGAGACTAGCGGAAACGAGTAAACAGTATTCCGTGCAACAAGCTCCCGAAGGATGGAGGGTGGAGCGGTCAAAATGTCCTTGAGTTTGCCTCGCGGGTTGGGGGCCGCTTGTGGGCCTGAAAGAGACAGAGCCGCATGAGCGCCTCTGTGGTTGGTGTTTACAACTCTCCACCCATGTGCAGCTACTCCTTAAACTTTACATTTAATTGAATACAGTCTGACAGAAGTGAGTTGTGAGCTTGGACATCTCATTGAGCTACCTAGCTCAAGCATACTAATCGTGGTATTTAGCTGTTGCTTCTTTTGTTAAATTTTGTGATTTATCAACCAAGTCGTGGTGATGACGAACAACGCCGACTCCTATTTTATTTATACACTCTGCCATTGGCTGTTAGCGAGAAGGAATGCCGCTTTGCCTATTTGGTTATTGATATCCGTCAACTCGCATACAGTTGACAACTGTTGGTGGCTTGTGGGCCTCGAGCTAGGCTAAACTCAACGCCTGGACGATACACAGCTCTGGATTTAGTGGCTCTGCTAATGCAAGGATTCAGGGAATTCGTGTTTTTCTCTTGGGATGTGGCGCGTTTTGGTGTTTGTGGGTAACTTTATGTTTCCGCCCAACTCGCACAGCATTCACGCATACCTACATACGTGCTGCATATACGAAGTAGTACATAGTAGTACTACTTGTCCCCTTGACGTGTCAACTGCCCTCCCAACAGCTGTTGGTCAAAGGTGCCTGAGGATGCCACACAGAGGCTTGCTCTAATGGGAGATCATCTGAAAAGGATGGTTCCCAAAGTTCGTAATTTCGGCCCTGCCGCTTGGCAGTTGAGTGCGAATACCGGCTCTCCACCGCTTCCGAGGAAAAAGAAAATTTTTGAGCAAGGCGTATTTGTTTTGTTTAATCGCATTGGTTGGTGAGCTGCTAAGGGCTCTGGCTACTTGAACAGGGGTCGGGGACTATGCTTATGACATAGCTTACCAAGAGCAAGGAGCTGACGACTATAAATAAGCTATGTTTAGAAACATGGCGTTGATGGAGCAGTGTTTTACCAACCCTTGCAACTCAAAAGCGATAGACTCCCCCAATAAGATTGCACTTGCCATCCGGCTTCATGACATGCTACAATGGGCTAAATCTTGGTTCATGACTACGAAAGTGGAGTACACTGGGCTGAATTATCGGACGATGTGGAATTGGGTACGATTCCAGCAATCTTGCGGCTGAATCAATCTTCCCGATTCTGATCTAGAGGGGCCAAGAGTATCTAGTGTCTGACGATTCGCGGGATTTTGGGAGGTTTAGTTAGCCCGCTTGAACTTAGCCCATCTCATAAATGCGGCATCTATGTTTACTAAGCTCATGTTAAGTTAGCTGATCTGAAAAGCTACATTTAAAGTTACTCCAGCTGGGGCCAGTATATGATAACAAGCATCCCGGCATTGAATGACTATGTTAACGTCTAGTCTTTAAAAATATCGAGGTATTCCATGACAGCTCAGAGTACTGGTAGTAGGTATTTCTACAATGAGTCCAAAAAGATCACAAGGCTATCTGTTCTCGATGAATGCAGTGAAGCGTGCGCCTCAATTTGTGTAATTCTTCATATGCCCCTAACCGAGATACGGCTTTCTCTTCTGCTATGTTTTGAAGAGTCTCCGCCTGGAATACGTGTTGTCATTGTCAGATCGATAACACAGCCTCATTCTTTAGTTCCCTAACGTGCGGAGTACACCGTAGTTGAGGCTAATGCTGTGATCGTCTCCCCGCCCGAAGGATCGAACACCAAGCAGAATGGAAATGGTATGACAAAATCACGAAGAGAAACTCTAATGTATGGCTTCTGCTTCGACATCGTTATTTAATCACGGCATATTCAAGGAAGAGAGATTTTAGGTAAAATTTCGATACGGAATGAATAAGATGAGAATGCGATGTAGAATGCCGATGCGTTAAGATAAAAGAACCATAACATAGGAAACCTAAATAAGCTGAACCTTGACTCTAGCTGCCTGAATTTTCTAGCTAACTTCAAAAGGAAAACAAGCTGCAGTTTGCATGTGTGTTGTTCTTAAAAATAGACGTGCCTCGAACGGAGATTTTCCATTGTGTTACCAGGATCGGAGACATGACACCAGCGGCTCTCGCTGTGTGACGCGGCAAGGCAGATCATCCATGTTGGCGACAACTAAATTTAAAAATTTGCCACCACGGGAGGGCATGACATATACCGGTATTGGTAGGCCGAGAAATCCATCAAACCTCAGAAATAAGAGCTATAAAAAGTTTAGCTTAAATATTAACTCTAACAAGGTGATTCGCGAGAGCCTATGATAATGTGCGGCTTTTTTTCTTTACACCTACACTATATATTCGTCCACCATGCTTTACAGCTGGACCCAATAATGCAATTTGGCATAAACTCTAGAAACATCTACATAAAGAGGTGATTTACGACCGATACTATCGTCCGCACAAAACATACTGCAAACTTTTCTCACTAATGACAGATTCTCTCGTGATGTATGTATGTAGCCATAAGCAGACATCGAAACTTACAATACCTACTACAAACATAGAACGAGTCATATGCAGGCGAGCTGATGCATACAGGGATCTCTCAAGTTCCCATTATCGAGAACAATTGCTTCCTAGCGCTTAGTCGATGCTACCATGTAATTATTTGTGGGCGTATCAAGATGTTGGTACCCCGTCCTTCTAGAACACCGGCATTCTATAGGAGAACCCGAGTTCCTGGTGAACCATGCTCAGTCATCAATCTTGAGGAGCAGGGGCCGCCTCAGGGTCATTAGCCAAAAGCGCCTCGACCTTGGCTCCCCTCTTTCTCCTCTCATCAAGCGATATTTCGTCTTCTGGCACGGTGGACCAGCCGAGGCCCAGCTCGGGATACTGAAGAGGCACCTCGTCACTTTCGCGAGGCAATCCGTCTAAGTAGATGGGCCACGGCGTACCTAGCCAGCCATTGCGAGTCTCGTGGTCTCGACGTTGTTCAGAAGTTAGGGGATGTATAAGTACGCTGCACCGTGTATCAGAAAATGAGCAAAAGTTATGCAAAGTCGTAGCTGTTTATAGAATGGGGTATAAGCGCCGGCTAGATTGGAACTGACCTCAAATTTCCTCGGTTTGATGCCAAGTAGAAGAATACGTCAGAGAACGAAGAGTCGGGAACCCAGACTTTACTCAAGATTAGACGAGACTTATTTGGTATTATTTATATCTCACGGGCCATTACTCACTCTCATACGACCCAGCAGGGTGAGGTCCAATAGGATACTTGTTGACTCTGTGCAGCGGAACGGCCACAAAGGCACCTATACGGCCAATTAGTTCCCAGTGTCTCGAGGCTGTCTAGGGTCTTACGTACCATCACGACGAAGTCTTAATACCGCATCACGAAGCGCAAGTGCCGCAGCCGTTTCAGTGGGCGATTGCAGTAGGAAGTAGATGTGGAAGTGCCACTCTCTTGTCCGAGCCTCTACAACGGTCTGTAGATCATCTTGGGGCTTTGGCACGGGGACTTGGGTCATTGTGAGTTACTGGATACGCTGCAACTTAGTCCTGCGCTATGCTTGATAGTTTTGAAGATATTACAATCGACGATGGGTTGTTGTCGCATGCGTGAAACTGAGGTCTTCAATTCTTAGCTGCGTTGTAGCACTAAGCACGCCATTTGTCACAGCGCTATCTGCATTTGGGCGCGGAAGCGGGGATCCTGGAACTTTTGAATCTGTCCTACAATACAGGTACTCGCAATGGCTCAAGTGGCTGCTGTCTGTTCATAAAGATCTAATTGTTCTTCTATCGAGATTCAATACAATTGCCAAAATGTAGATGATCTAAAAGCAAACGCGAAACGCATACCGCTTGTCCCCACGCATTTCCTCAGATTACTATAAAACTATAATACACATTATTTACACCAGTCCGTATATCTTACATGGCATAATCATCAAACGTACCCCGACGTTTCCGTCGCTGCACCTTATTCTCAGCTTTCTGCCTCTGACTCTCAGCCGATAGCGACTGTTGCAGCCTGTCCACCAATTTTTCCAATATCCAGTCGCTCTCACTCTGGCTCCCCATCAAAGGGCTGCGATGCCCAACCCACGACCACTTGACGATTTCGTCTCTCCCGGAGTCACCGGTTGGTTTTTTCCCCTTGATCTTTGCCTTCCCGTGAGTCATTGCGCTGTGTTCGTCTTCGCCAATGAGCTTGAGGTACCACGCCCATTCGTCAAATGAGTAGTTGTACTCCTTGTTTTCCTTTCGATGCTTGGCCACGGCTTGAATCTCTGAAATGAGAAGAAAGTGGAAATCCGGTCCGGTGGGCAGCTTGCGTTCATGATTGCGAATCCGCGAAAGCGATCGACGTACTTTGGTTGTGAAATTTGATGCTGTCGAGTCAAGGCGGTTGGGACGGCCTCTTTTCCTCGTTTCTTTTCCGTTATCTCCTCCAAAATCTTCCCCACTGTCATTCGCATTGTCACGTTCCCTCTCAATGTCAGAAAGATCGTCCTCCTCCAGCTGTTCCATAAACTCGGCTATTCTTTGAATATTGTTCTTTGGCGCATCGAGCATCATTGTGGGGTTGGCGGAGTCGTAGTATGTCTTGTACGCCCTTCCAAGTGTCATTCTGCTAACCATGTGCTTGAAGCTGGAGGAAAAGGCATCTTCTCCGGGCAGGATAGTGACGTTTCCTAGTCGGATAGTGCTATCTCGGACAATTTTGATGACAGTGCTGCCAGCATGCGAAATAAGCACCGTGATGGTCGGTAAAGCCATGAGAGACCAAAAGACGAAGAAGGACCTCCCCGCGTTGGATACGGGCGTAAGATCACCATATCCAATCGTCGTGTACGCGATGAAACAAAAGTAGAAAGCTTGAAAGTACGTCCAGTCTTGGTAGGGTTTCTCGGCTTGCTGGAAGATGACGGCTCCGACCATCCAGAATACGAGCCAAACCAAGCCGGAAACGCCCAAAGCCATCCACTTTCTGCGTGTAGCTGTCTTGGCTTGGATCTTACGCATCAGAGCGAATTCAGCTTTGCGTCGTTCAAACTCGCTTGAGATGGATCTATCTGTCTTATCGGTTTTGTCTGTCCTATCAGTTTTATCTGTTTGCGCACGAGGAAAGTCGAATTCTGCTTGCGAGCGAGGAGAGTCGGGCTCTTCTTGGATAGGCTCTAGGCTTTCGTCTTGGATGGGTTCCAAAATTTCGTCACCCCCTCGCTTCGAAATCTTGCGTACGAATCTTCGTCTCTTCTTTTCTTCCATTCGGGCCAGTACTCGGCGCTTTCCGCCGTCGAGAGTGAGGCCGCGAACAGCCTCGATGACCAGACCCAAGCTGATGATTCCGACAATGGCATACGGGATTGTAAGTGCTCTTCCAAGATTCGTCGACGGTTCAAAGTCGCCAAAACCAATCGTAAACAGCGTGACATCAGCCCAGTATACAGCGTCCAGATATCCCCAGCCCTCAATAGCGGCAAAGACAGTGGCTCCAACATGGAGATATAGCAGGACGAGAATGGTTTGCAGCATCAAAGTGCGCTGACTGAGGGACAGGATAAAGTCCTTTGGATAATGACCTGCGCAGGCCCCCCAGAACGTGATTGACATGAGGGATGCGACAATGAAATATAATATGGCCGACCAGATGCCGTAGTAGAATGATTGAGACCAAATCATCTCATCCTTGGGAAAGTCAAGCCCCTCAGTCAGAGGTTTAGCACCAGTGGACGTCAAGCATATCAGGCAAATCGACGAAAAGTACCTGTTGATGCATTATTAGCGATGCATTGTTTTGTTAGACTGGACCATCTTGGCATTACCATCCCACTATCGTGATGGGCTGTGCTATACTGAAGCGAACCCGCCTTGCCATGTTGAAGAGTAGGAAAAGGTTGGAAGTGACGGCAATTCCCAGTTGGACGGCGTTTATTGCCGTGAGCCTGTGATACGCATCGTTAGTAGCCGGTCGCCTCATGGCAGTATATGCTGAGCGGCAGACATACCATGCTGGATCTGGGATATAGTGCGCCTGATCAGGTTGTTGTCCAGGCAAGAGATGCTGCCTCCAGGGTGAAACCAAAGCGCAGATACTGAATGCTGAAGCTACAGGACCAATAGTTCCCGCTATCATAGGAAACACTGAGGCGAGAAACCACCAGCGACTGTGTGATTGAGTGTCAGCAAGCGAATGTCGTTACTTACTGGATATTGGCTTACCTGGGCTCGAGATGCGCATTGTCGTTTTCTATCTTGGTCCTGCGAAGATAGGCATCGGACTGGTCACCCTTTTCTTCATCTATCGCTGCCACGCCATTCTCCTCGAAATCTCTGTCGCACATCGTCGATGAGATTGGATACGCGTCAAGCGTTGACGGCGGTGAAGTGAGATTAAACTTGGCCTATTTTCCCGGTATTTCTCACGGCAAAACAAGCCAAACCCCAGCTATCTCAACATCAAAGCATTCATATGAATACCCCAGTCGTCGTCAGTCAATGCCAAGACTGTTTTTGTTATGCCAAGAGATGCAACGGTTATCATCAGCTGGAGAAGTGGCGAAAAAAGTAGCACCAAAGTTTCGGCAGAGTCACCGAATCCAAGATCTGGATCTATTTAACCAGAAATAAATACGCGTGTGAGGATGTTAAAGGCTTAAGTGTGCCTTGGCAACGTGCAAGCTTCAGCCAATTGTCGGGCTTTTCAAATACGTGACGAGCCTTTTCTTTTTGTCACTTCCTGGATTTTCTGCACCGAGATCCGGATTTTCACACAATCCAAGCAACACGAAATGCATGCGTGATGTATGACGTCGTGCGCCCGGCTTTAGCGGCAGAGCTTCGCATCGTGATGTTTAAAGCGGGCCGATGGGCTGGGCTCCAATTGCGGCTTAGACCGGGGCGTCGCAAGTACATAACTTGACGTTGCTTGCGAAGGTCTTCAACGCGCGAGAACACTAGGAGCGACGGGGGCAACTCCTCAATGCACGCGTGGTTTGGTATGATGCGGCGTATATATAAGCTGTTGTCCCAGTCCTGTGTTGCCCAGGTTGGTGCTTGTGGTGATGTATCTCGGCTCAGTCTATGCTAAGTACCTACACATCAGGTATCATGCAATCTGCGGGTGAACTAAACATGAAGGCTTCAGTCTCGAATAACTCCCAGACGCTCCCATAAAATCAAAATCGCATCGCTATTCTAGGTATATGATATTACTCCCTCCGACTTTTACTCATGCAAACAACCACAACTCGTCACAACATGACTCTTCAGACCAGCAGCGGAAAGTCTCCAATGTCCTCCATTGCATCCCGCCACGTAAAGTCAGATCTCGGATCTTCGTGTCGCTTGGTCCAGCACTGTCGCAAGATCCGCTGCACGCTCGCACAGTTGCCAAAGTCTTTGGTTGTTTTGTTTGTCGTCTTGTTCAAGATCCGAGTCATGAGATGCTCGAAAAACGCCTGCTGGTCTGGCTGCGCCATGGCCCCCGCTATGCAGATCGACCAAACAACTCCGCGAAGTGAAACATCACTAGGCGCTTGCTGGAGCTCGCTAATAACAGATGCAACGGCGGCGTAGATGCTGGCGTCAGAAGGACGAGTGCTAGACAGGATAACGTAGAGCAGGACTAGGGCTCCAGTAGCGAATACTCGCGAGATGTAGTGTGAGACAGGTGGCTGTGGCTCATGCACATTAGCCGCAAATCAAAAAATCCAAAACTGACGACGAGAGAGAGAGGAGGAAAAGGGATTCAAAAGCAACATACATCTTCAACTTTTCTCCGCAGTCGTTCGATGCCATTCTGCAGCACCTTTTCAAGCCGTAGCAGCGACTCGCGTCGTTCCTCTGGAGTGTTGCACTCGCCTCCCACCTGAATCATCGACAAGTCCCCAATGACTCGCATCACCCAATTCTCACAGCCGACAAAGTCTGCCATCAGAATCTCCTCTGAGTCTAGCCACTGTCGGTATGGCAGGCGTGGTGGCACTCCCGTGGACGCTGTAGAGAGAATCTCAAACCAGAGGAGCTTCGTAAACTCGAAGCGCTTTGCATACATCATGCCACGCCATATGGGTGACATGGTGGTTCCATTTGGCGGCGTCGTCTGTTCTGTTGGCGAGCCACTCTGCTCTCGAGGCGTAGGATCCAAGCCGATGAACAACGGCCCCAGCTTGCTTACAACTGTGGTAAGGGCATCAAGATGCGTCTGCCAGCTCAGTGAGCCACCTTGTAAAATCTAGAAATCACATGCTCAGGTTAGGAGGATGGTGAACCGCTTATAATCATACTCATACATACATGTCGCTTATAACACGTATGTACGTCGCTTCGACTGCTCGGAACATGTTCATGCAGGTATACGAACCTCAAAGCTAATGAGACAACAGCCGCTGGATATAAAGGTGATGAGCCGTCCGCCCTCGTCCAGTGCAAGGTTGCCTTCGTTGGCCGAAAGGGCATGGCGCATGGCACTCAGGGCCGTGGTGTGATACTCTATCAGCTCGGCCTCCATGTACTCGGT